TTCAGAGATGTTAGAACAGTGAAACCAACAAGTCATCTATCACCTTATCTAAAACTAGTTAACTAGATTTAAATCTTATTAATAGAGCACGCATCAATTTAGCAGTCGTAAAGTACTCTAATAAATATTAATTTCCCCCCTTGCAGTATTGATATAAGTTATGATAACGTGATCTGGTACAAGTTCGTATCAGATATTACATTGACTATGACTGACTGAATGTCTGGTTTCGACAGTCTTATCTTGCTCTACAAGCGCCATTTTAAAGTTTCCAAAAACACAACTTCTTAAGTTTATACAAAAGGTTTGGATTATACCAATGGTGAAATGTAGAACTCACGTTTCGTCCTATTTGTGACTCGTCGGTTGTATGCACCAAAGTGAACATTAACTCCGTGATGCAGTTGCATCTAGCTAATGAGTTTCGGACGGAACAAAACTTGCTTCCTGGGTTTCATTGCTAGCCACATTCCATCGTTCCTATGTAAACATGTGACATAATGGCTATGTCGAGTCATTCTTCATAAGATGCACATAAGTCAACGAAAACTGATCGAAATCCAGTCAGAATATCAACAGCGAGATAATCCGAGTCATTACAAATCAAATAAACTCCTAAGTTTAGTAAAACTTTTGTTTAAATAGTCAAATTTATATTTATCTATTATTACTGAATTCCTATTGGAATGTTGACATTTAGCTGATTCCAGAAATTTATTTTATTAACAATGGAAACCAAAAGATCAATGGTGTCTAGATGAAGAGAGGAAAGTTGGATGAATCTGTCACTGAATTGAAAGGTTGAGATTCAACTTGACTTTAAAAAATATAGAGTTCGCTACGGATTCCGATAGTTTTGAGTCCAATTTAATATATAATAGTTAATGTTCAGTGGTGAAAATTCCAAAAATAAAATCTTAACACAGTTGTCTATTACTAACTGGTTTTCATTAGTTCTGCAAATGGCGCTATTTTATCAGAGAAATAATTAAATCGCCATAATAATAAGTTGATTATTTTTACCATTCTGTTTTTCAAATTAAAATTTAAAATGAAATTTCAAACAATCAGTAGTGCATAATAAGTTTAATTTTTTCGAATTATTTAACACTTCTGTGAATTAACTACAGCGCAATTGCAGGGTTACATTAAATCTGAATAAATATGTTGTAAAAATGAACACAAGTCCAATGAGCATATCAAAAGATTCATTGATTTTGTTATAATATACTGTGATTATCATCTTGAATGACAAAAACCAACCATGACTTATGAATATGGGGTTGTAGAGATTGTTGATTTTTGAGTGATATTATGAATTGACCAATGTTAGATCACCAGTGAAAACCTGGAAGCAGTGGACGGCCATTTTCTCCTGCTATGAAACTCCTCAGCATTACGTGTCCATAAGCCTGCATGCATGTTTAGAACCCGGTTTCGAGCGCGAAGGCTTAACCTCTAGACCAATCAACCGGAATCCAGCGGTGTCAATGTCAGAATAAAACTACAAATGAATATAAAAAATTGGAATCAGGGTTTAGAGTCAGAAGTTTGGGTTGAGTTACAGTTTTCATCACTAACTGACTTCGTCTTTGATGTTGTAGTGATAAATAAATCCCCAAAACCAATAGCTCTGTAAGTGTTCGACATTGGATGCTGACCACATTATTTTCAGTGGACTCACCTAGCTGAAGGCGCTCAGTCATGCATCCTCACCAGATCACTAATGGGAACGCCGTGCTCAAAATCCTCTGCAATCGCTAGCTAGTCTAGATCAGTCTTTCCTCGCTATACTGGTAGCCTACCAAATATATCTTCAAACCACCTCGCTTCTGATTTTTGATTTCACTTAGTTGTAAAATTTGTAGTAGAAGGGGTTATGGTTTAGGCGTTATCATACTCCAAATACCTGTTGCATCTTCAATGTCAAAATGCTATTTAACCATAAGGATAGAAGAACTTTGTTCCAAATACTGTGTGACTCTTTAAATCCGACTAGCTCGTTCATAATTTGTCCTCCAGACCCATTCACTGAATAAACAGAAAGGTAACCTATTGTATTGATTTACGGACAGCCCAGCCCTATTTATGCCGTCGAACATGTTGCATATTTTTTCTGTTTCTCTCACATGCATATATTTTGCAACAGTTGTGGCTTTGACTTGTGGACTTCTAAAAAATTTGTCACATCTTTCATCGTCCAAACTATTATTACCAAGGGACGAAATTATTTAGGAATCTCCGTTTCATCAACATTTGTTCTTCCTCTCAAATCTTTTTGATTAGAACGTGGAGCATGTTCGCAGTGACCTTCATGCCTGACTTCAGTATTTCAGCTTAAATCTTCTCAGATTCTGTTGCTTTCTCATTCTTGATTTGTCCGATGGTCATGCTGATTATTTCAATCATTGGTAGAGTGACAGCTATGAGAGGGTCTGTGTATGCTACTTCGATGTCTGGTAGATTCAGTGAGGCTGGTCTATCCAACAGTTCACCAAAGTGCTCTACCCATCCGTTCATCTGTCCTTGAACTTCAGTGATTGTCTTACCTCCCTTGTCCTTAACCATTCACTCTGGTTTACCATATTTACCTACCAGTTTCATCGTCGTGTCATATAGTTGTTGCATATTTCCTTCTGTTGCATCTTTAACCGCTGTCGTTGCAAGGTCTTACACGTATCTCTGCTTGTCAGCTGCAATGCTCTTCTTCACCTCCTTGTTTGCTTCTGCGTATTCGGACTTTGCCTTGACTTTCTCTGTTGTTGTTTGGCTGTCGCTAACTGCTGTCTTCTTGTTCTTTCTTTCTTGAATCTTGTCTAAGGTTTCGATAGAGATCCATTCCTTATGATGATGCCCCTTGAGACCTAGAACCTTCTGACACGTTGAAGTTAATGCTTCTTTGATCCTTTTCCAGTTTTCCTTCATAGTCGTTTTTTCTTCTTTCTGTAGATCTTGTAAGGTTCGCAACCTATTATTGAGATCTATCTTGGATTCGTTGAGTTCGTTAGTATCTCGAAGGAAGAATGTATTGAATCTTTGTAATGTTGTTAATCCAGTTTTCCAGTTCTTCTTTAGCTCCAGTTTCATCTTGGTAACCACCAGGTGGTGGTCTGAAGCTATGTCAGCTCCTCTCCTGGTTCCCACGTCTTCCAATGACCTTGTGAATTTTTTAGTGGTTCTCTGTAGTGAGGGATCGGCACAGTGACTTCCGAAGAATCTCAGTTCTTATCATGTGGCATCTGATTTTTGCTGAATAAAGGTCATTCAATTCCCAGTATGGAGTTATATGGTTTGGTTTGTTTTTTTCTGGTTAGCGCTTTTCGCTGGGGATGGGAATGCTGATCACACCCGGCTCTCCCCCTTTTGTGTGGCTTTGGACTTTCAGTAACCTCAGAATAACCACAGGCGGAGTTACATTTAGGCCGTGAATAGTATATTTAATATGAACAGGCAGAAGTATTACATTGCGACCACATATGGATGGCGGAACCATGCATTAGAGAAAACACAAAGAAGATCTGATGCGTGTGAAGGCAAGGGTTGGCGAAGAAAGGGCAGCATTTCTACAATTGAAGAACATATGAAACTCAAAACATCTGTCTTTTAACATCAAAGTCAGAATTTTCAGTACGAACGTCAAAACCGTTCTATTGTACGGAGTTGAAATTTGGAGAACTTCTACAAACATCATCAAAGAAGTACAAGTAAGGCCTGACATTTTATGTAGCCACATAATGATAAGTTCAGAAATTTGATTATTTATTATTATTATTATAGTAGTACAAACAAGTGCGCGAATGCCGGACTAGGCGTTATTTTATACCGTAACAGCCGATGCTGCTGTATATGTACTTCAAACTTATGTAGACATTCTGGTAAGCCGCTCCAAACTGTGGGGTCAAATATAGAAAATGCTGCAAACTGCTGTTTAAAAGGTATAAAGGACAGGTAATTGGGTGTGGTCATACAGGTATATGTCAGAATGGGACAGACCGATCACCTTGCTCTCCACGTCAGCAAAAGTCGAGCGAAGAGTTCTGAATGAAATTTTTGCAACCGCTCGATATAAAGTGGTTTTCTTTTATACAGATCATCAAAACACAAACCTGTTGAACATCTGGAGTTTCTGAACTCTATAACCAGAACACAATCACTCTGTTCACATAGACCTCCAGACTCCTCTAAGGCACTCATTATGGATGATCATCGATTTTCGAACGTATGAACTAAACTAGTGGGGATTAGTGAGTTTTTAATAAAGTCACTTGTGAACAAAGTAGAAGAGGATCAAAAACTACTGGCATCCTCTCGAATCTACGAGATAGTTTATCAAGGACAAGTGGAATGCCACTCATCTTCTGGTTGTTTATTAGCGTCTCACATAGTGTCCTAGACCTACAGACTGTCTTGTCCATATAATGCTAAGAATTGGAGAGAGACAAAAGACTAGAATGACACTTTTTCATCAAGTAGACTCGATTAGAATTTACAATTGAAACAATAAAAACCCACTTCTAAATATCACTTCACGCAGATTTTAAGCCTGTTTATCCCACATTCCCTTATCATATACATTTTAACGAAGGTGACTACCATAAGGGTCACTCCACTATCACTTTGATGATCAACAAATGACTTACTCTATCTTTCGATTTCAGGTACGGAATAGGAGCCAAATATTTTCACTATCAAGAACCACGTTCTACCACCTGAACTCAGATACAAGGAAAGGGATGGTTATTCAATACTGACAAATAAAATGTGGATTTGGAAATATTATCGTGAGAAGTGGTCTTTTCATCTTCCTATGACCCATTCAACAAATAAGACACTCACGTAACCCCACGAGACAAGGAATAAAGTCTTTAGTCTGCTTTTCATTTTTGATGTACGCATCGTGATCCGAATGTTAGTCTATTGATAATTGGAAGTTGTTGCCATAGCTTGTGTTTACCAGCACTTGTTGTTTCCCGGCCTTTTTGAATAAAGTGACCTATCACATGAGAATTAGGTGTGGGTGTGGGAAGAAAATGGTGCTTTTCATCAGCCTTAACACTTTGTTTTTGGCTATGACTCCCTTCGAGTTTTGGAAGTCGTTGTTAGGATGTTTGCTGGCTATTCACAAGAAATTGAACATCACTGAGCTTTTTGAGTCATCAACTATTTATCACTTAATCTTTCAGTTAGACGATATTCGAAGGGCTGGAAAGATCTTTTTCCTCACAAGCGATCCTAAGTATCAAGACTCGGGTGGGGAATATATTTACAGGCGCTTGGTGAGAGATATAATTTATACCCACAAAAAGGCTAGATCGGAATTTAATTTGCCTCCACTAATGCGCAATCGCGTTGTCCCCTCAGAAAGTGAGCTACTGTTCCTTAACTGACACAATTTCAGGTGAAAAAGCAGAAGCTCTACAGTCTCTGCGTGCAGCTTCACTACAACAGGCTACTGGTCATTTTGCGAAAGCTAAGAAACTATTGGAACATGCATTCAAACTTGACCCGGACAATATAGATGTCTTAATTGCTTTGGGTGAAGCTATAGAGAGCTCTTATTACTATGGGAAATCTGTTTCGCGTGTTGCTCTTCCTTTAACGAAGTCGCTGATCCCTGTCTATGGCCAAGTATCAAACAATGAAGCTGATGGTCTTATCTTGACTGCTGAACATCTTTATACAAAGGCATTGATTGTCGATCCCAGCATTTCTAAAGCTTGTTTACACCGAGAACGTTTAATGCCAATTGTGGAGGAAATAGATCAACGAATGTAAGTATTTTTGAACCTTTGATAAAAGCTTTTGGTGAGACTATAACTTATAAGCGACCGTTGAGCGACGCTAAATTGACCTTGAGTATGTCCATCTACTAACCAAAGCTAAATAAAGGTTATAAACCAGTGTGAAAGATTAGAATTATGATTTACAGTTGGTGGTTAGGGTTAGGAATTAGATGTATGGTTCCCATCACTAACTGGCATCAGCTAAATTACCAAGACGCTATTTGGTCAAATGCATTGTCGAACTTCGCGTCAAAATCCAAAACTCGTTATCTTATATGTGATTGTTTCGTCTTTAAATTATTGTCTCGCCAAAATTTTTTTAATGGATAAATTATTATTCTAACTCAGTAGACAAGTCCAGACCTTTGGACTGAGGGTAAAATATACGTCGTGGGCTTTGAGGATATCTAAACAACATGACAACTGCCCAATTCAATTCATCTGCAGTCACGTTGTAAATTGTGTGTCCACATTAGAGCAAAGATCCTACGTATAATATGGAGTCAAGAAGTTGTATACATCCTTCAAACTAAATTTTATAAAAAAACAAGTTTGTGGGGCACACGTTGGGGGAGGGATAATGTAATTTGCTTCAATCATATTTCAATAGTTTCAATACCTATCTGAACCACATTAAGGTGAAACACTTTTCCTGTGGCTTTCTTGTTGTAGCTTTCATGTACTAACCGTATGTAAGGTTGGCGCATTAACAAAAGATGGACACCTGTTATGAAAAAAAGTAACTGATTCTGCTTTGAACAATGAAGAGTTACTGGTCGAAATATAAGCTCACATAAAAATTCATAATTCTTCTTTCATTTCGATCTGCTAAATTGCTTAACGAAACATTAAAAACGATACAAAAATAAATGCACCCTCGTAGTCTCTAATACTGCCGTTATCTGTTCCTCTTACTAAACTAGGACTTTTATTTTTTTGAACACAAATATTGGTACAAGGGGGCACCAGATATATATGCGCCACGCGAAAATATGTCATTTCATTTAATTGTGTGAGAATTATGATACTTCCTGGGTGCTCAGACCAAAGCAGATGGTTTTCTCAGGGGGCCGCACCCGGAGCCTTTGACATGAAGGCTTAATCCACAAGGTAGTGGAGCATCGTAAGATGCAGTCCCATGGTAGCCGGTGACCAATTGGTTCATACGCTATTTGTTCCTTCAGGATACTAGAGCTCATGTGTACCGTTGATTTGGGATCAGGATTTTCCAACTATATTCTAGATAAACGCTATTTATTTGTGCAATCTGGGCCATCTTTGGGGCCTTCGTGATGTTAGTCTGGCTGTAAAAAGTCGGATTTACAACGCGCCGGTGAGAGCAGTTTTGCTCTATGCTTGTGAAACCTGGCCTCTCCGAGTTGAGGATGTTAGACGTCTCTCTGTCTTCGATCATCGTTGTCTCCGAAGGATTGCTGACATCCAGTGGCAACACCATGTTAGTAATGCAGAGGTTCGGCATCGTGTGTTCGGGCACAGAGACGATAATTCAATTGGTGTCACCATCTTGAAACACCGACTTCGGTGGCTTGGACATGTTTTACGAATGTCGTCCCAGAGACTTCCACGTCGTGCATTATTTGCCGACGCTGGGACTGGTTGGAAAAAGCGGAGAGGAGGTCAGTGTATGACATGGTGTCGTGGCATGAAAGAGAGCTGCAAAGGGCTAGCTTCTGTTGGTCCTTCACGACTCCTTGGTTGGGGTTCGAGAGATGGTGCAACACAGTGGCTAGAGACGTTATCAGATATGGCTCAGAATAGAAACCAGTGGCGATCCTGCTGCAACCTTCTTTTACTTTCTACATAAAGTATGGTTCTTACTTTCCTATTTGAAAGAGTCTTCTGGTTGTACATTTTAGTCCGCCTTATCTTTTCATCCCTTCTCTTCCTACTTTCATTATTTTGTGTGGCGCATATGTACCTGGTGCCCTTTTGTACCAATATATATGTATTTAAATAAATAAATAATGTGCAGGAATATGCCCTACTTTCCTATCGCAGGGAAATATTCCAAACCTTATATTTCCTGACTCATATAATTTGGTAGCAGGTCCAATTTTGTTTGTATTAGTGGTGATATAAACATCTGTTTCCTGCAGTTTTCTGCCGCAACCTTTTAAAATGATCTGGTATGAACATACTCAACTGAGTGCTTAATCCAGAAACCATAAATCAGTGCACTGAAAACCAATTAGTAGGATTTTATTTATTTATTTAAACACATAAATATTGGTACTAGGAAGCACCAGATAAATATGCGCCTCACAAATCTCATTCGATTTGTGTGAGGGCTGTGATACTGCCCAGGTGCCCGAACTGAAGCAGGTGGTTTTCTTAGGGGGCCACACCCGGAGCCTTTGACCTGAATGTCTGATCCACAATGCAGTGGAGAATCGTGAGGAGATGCAGTCCCATGGTAGCCGGTGATCAACGGTTGATTCGTACGCCATTTGTTCCCTCAGGATACTGGAGCCCATGTGCATTACTGGTTTTCAATCAGGGTTTTCCAACTCCCCTAGGTGGACCATCCATGTCCACCAATCCGGTTAAAGCGCCGGACATTCGCTTTTCGTCCTCTCACTTTCGTAAACAACAGTAATGCCACGAGAAGGCAGTGAGTAGGACTTCCCTGTCAGAGACTATATATTTACTGGCCATATGAGAGCATTTCGAGAGGGAGAGGTGACTCTCCCCACTCTCGGCCGTACCAAGGCATTTGGGGGCAATTAGTAGTAGGAGCACAACATCCAGCAGTACTACGTTAAAAACGTTAGGAAGACGATTATTAAAAATGGCTCAGCTCACAAAATGTATAAACTCAAGCTGATTTTTACAAAAAAGACTAATAAAGCGGAGTTAGTAATTCGTGTTTATCATCCTTATCGAAATCGTTCTTCATTATTTTAGATCCTTGGTTTTCAACCATCGAATCACCGGCTTCAGTAAGGTTCTATGCTAATATTTTCGGGCCAAATGTTTGTTACGCTTCAGAAAAAAAGAATATCTCATTTTATTTTATAATCATGCATATGACTGCTGTGTTTGCGTAGTGAGCTTTTGTGATCAAAGCGTAAAACCGAATATTTCGAAAAACTATCTTATGAGGACTGCCCCTGTGATTGCTTAGCTTTCATTTGTAGACTAGATGAGATATAAGAGGATTGGATGTTCGATATGTCTTTAGAATACTACTAAGGAGACCACTTGAAATAGGGTTCGAACTCAGTGTAACACAGTCGAGTAATTTAGCAACATGTGGTTTAGTCGGACGCGATTTAAAACGTGACTGTACATATCAGTGAGAGTCAGAAAGTCATATTTTAAAAGTAGAAGTGGTATTTGATCCTTGGCCTTAACTTGACTAATCATTGGTAGATTGTAAAGTAGTTAATGTTCCATTCACTTAAACGTCGAGTAAGTAATGATGAAGTAAAATATAGATTTATATGCTTAATCAATCATAATCAACAAAGAGTTCATCAAAAGTATGCGTCAGACCAAGTTTGCATGTCACATTAACGCAGCGAGACAGAATTATCAAAATGAATACCACGGGTAGAATTTATATTGGTATCAATGATCGTTAAAAAAATTAAAAACTTGCTAATACAGTTCGAATAGAAGGAACAAAATATAGGACATAAAAGTATAATAAACGTCGAGGCTCAAGACTTATCATGAGATGAAGATGGAATCCATCTTCTCCTCAATTACTCATTCTGAACTATGTCACCCAAAGTCTCCAACCACTGATCACCGTTGTCAGGTGGACCCCAACCATGTAATCTGCACCTACCTACACAGCTCAGTACAACAGTCAGCAACTTCATGAACTGACATCAGGTCTCGGTTTTGGCATTCCTAGGATTCGTTTATCTTGTCTGTTTCGGAATCGATGACAATGACCTGAATTCATTCGGTTTTTGTCTTTTAGATCTTAAACATTTCATATGTTTTATTGTATCTTATCAACTCCGACCGTCCTTTTTAATTTTTATGTTGCTGGTGTCTCTGTTACATCCTGCTGAGAAGTATAGCTGCTGGATATAATCCAAGCTATTTTCTTCTGCATTTAATTTGCCTATCTAAACAATATTGTCCTGGTCGCCAAAGACTTCATATAATTAATGGTTAATAATCTAGTGATAGTAATAATTATACATAAGACTAGAAAAACAATTTTACCCTATTATTATCATGTCCTATGATAATCATAGATGATTAGTGGTGCTTTGTGTTGTTATTTATTTTGATCTTGTACTCATATATTCCTCATATAATTATTACTGGAATTATTTTCAGCTTTATTAGATTAGTGTTGCTTTTCGTGACCTTAAATTTGTCCAGTTCTAGTGTCAAGCCATAAAACACCAGCAGATCTATGTAAACTAATATTTTTTTAGATCTCATGCTGTGTTTCTGATACGTTTTTTCATTAGACTGATTTTTCACAACTCCAACTTTAGTTCAATTAGCAAAACCGCTTCTATCCTTTTATTCCCTGTCTGCTGATTAGAATGATAAGTTCAAGATTAGATAGAAGCTTTTCAATAGAGACCTCAGAAAAATTAAGCTGTATTCAAGTTTACTCAAATGTATATCGATTATTAAATAATTACTCATTAATTGTCACTAAATGTAAAGTCACAGTGCATCAATCAATAAAACGAAAATGCATTCAAAATTAACTGGGCAAAACACATCGTAAATAATATACTAATTTCAAGGTTGATTTTCTTTCTAATACGTTGTATTTTGGGGATGTTACATCTTCAACAGTCCCTGTTTTGATTGTTTACCTCTTTTTATTCTCTCTTTTGTGTAGTCTCAATGCAATCGATTTTAAAGTTCGTCAGTTCTATCATATTCCAGAAGGTGATCCAGGTTTACGTCGTGCTAAAGTTGAACATTATTTCAAGCATGTATATCACTCAAATGCTATCGAGGGTAATACGCTTACATTAGCTCAAACTCGATCAATTTTGGAAACACGATTAGCTGTTGGTGGGAAAAGCCTATTGGAGCAAAATGAAGTATTATGATTTTTGTATATTTGTCGAAAGTTTTTTCCGTATTTTGTTCAATTCGCCTAGGTCTTATATACGAATAAACCATGTATAATCTGTTTAGTGATCGGACTATTTCTCTTTTAACTGATCAGTCCCTCATACTTTGATTTGGATACAAGATATTGTCGCTAACCTTCACATAAAATGTGAAAAAACCGATTACATAGAGCTGTACTTGAGAAATGATTTGTATATATCTTACTGGTCACCATTTTCATACTGGAGTTTCGTCCACAACTATCTTTTAATAATGTATATATCAGCAATTGGTAATTTTGAGTTCCTTGAGCTAGATGATTTTATTGCGGGGCTTTCATTATCATACTGGACAATAAAAGCTCCACAGTTAAGTCACCCAGCTCGAAGAACTCAATACCACTAAAAACATCCACCTGGTCTAAAAATGTTCCCCATATATCAGTGCTCCCTAATTATTAGAACTGATTGATTAATGAAAAGGACGTTCTCAAGTTTTTAAATGGTATTTTTAATAGATGTTTCAACCAGTCAGCGGTGATAATTAAGGTTATCATTTATAACTATTCAAGTAGACCGATTTTAATAATCACTCAATTTGAATATGGCAGGAATTATAGCATTGTATCTTGTCCATCACTGTAAATTTGACATTCCTTCAGTTTTAATGCTATCTTGGCTTCAGTTTTATTTCCCAGTTCTTTCTCTATCAGTTTAAATCTCATCTTATGTACGAATTCGCGGAATTGTGTTCTCATAGTTAGCTGAAATAATCAACCAAACAATGGGTTTCTGAGATCTCATATGGGAAGATTATTTCTGATAGATTTTATGTCCCAGGAATAAAACTCATTACAGTCTGCAAAAATCGTTAATATATCGAAGATATTTTGGTAGACTGTGTGGGCTGTTTTGCATCTGTAGTCAGTGACAACCAAAATTCTATGTAAAATAAAGGTATATTAGAGAGTTGGTTTACTGCTTACAGGAGTTCGCAAATAGTAAAAGGTAGCGTCACTCTATACAGAACACACTTTATTGGAGCGCCATTGGATCATGTTACAATAAGTAGCATACTTTACTCAATTTAAATGATTACACATGAAATTTTCTTCATGTTTCATGTATTACTGTAAAATACCAGACTAATAGTTGAGATATCTTACTCCTTACCCACTATGTTCCAAGCTTCGGCTCCTCCTCCACCCACTTCGATGTAGGTAGCTGAATAGTGTCCTTTATCCTTGTAGAAAAAGTGTAATTTCAAAGTTGAGTACCTAAACTAGAAAACCGTTACCTCTTTGACTTTTCATAGTACTTTTTTCTAGGGGTATCATAATCCAATGAAGCATTGCTCTTCACTTTATATTTGCATCAGTTTGTCACTTGTTTTAAGAATTATATTTAAAGGAAAAAAGATGTTCAATTGTTAAATATATGCAAAGCAATACAATTCATAGGGGCTGTCATATTATCTTCGTACTCGTCAGTTTAACTATTAAAAGATTGTGTAGCATATTATTTGACAGCTTAAAACTCCTGTTTCATCATTTCAAAGCTACATAAAGCGGAAGACGAAACCACTTTCCTACCATTCGTTCTATAGAAATAGCAAATTGTTAATTAATTAAGCAATTAATTGACGCTTAACTTACCTTCTATATTTTAGGTCCTTGGTATGGATTCAGCTCTCAGATATATTAACAACACTCTTCTACGTGGGGATTTGACTGCTATAACGCTAGACAATATATTGGAATTGCATCGTAGACTCTTATCGTTTGTGGATTTGAGGGAGGCTGGAAGATTACGACGTTCTCAGGTAGTTCATAGACTATTTTGTGATATATTTTTAGGATGTCATGTATTTGGAAGAGAATCACCAAAAAACCCTAATCCTAGACAATTGTACTTTTTGTCACTCTACGGCGTGATGTGTTCGTAACCTTGATTAGAGCTGAGTTTCACTAAAGGTTCGAATTTACATCCCTCAGAGATATTACCTCCTAGCTGATTCAAATTGCGACTGGACTACGTCAACTAATCGGTTATGGGTTTGTAACTATTAATGTAAAAGTGTATATTTTAATCTTATTAGTTGGATATGTCAATCGTAAGGTCTATACATCTAATAATACAACAATAATATAAGTGAATTTGCAAAACCACATTGTGCTACCTATTAAAGTTTTAGGATTCTCCCTGTTCATTAGATATTGGCTACACTTTGTAAATTTACGACTTTAAAAATTGCTATTTAAAAACAGAAGATATGCCCAAGATACTCGTATTACACCATAGGTAGTTCCATATATTACTCACGTAAGGTGGAATCACAGAAAAAGTAATGCTATTGTAGAGTTAAAAGTAAAAGTTGTGAACTCTTTGTCTACTGAATTGGTCGGAATATGTTATTTGATGCTTAGTCACCGTTGATGAAAACACACTTCTTTTCTTTCACTTGATATTAAACCAATTACCACTTTATATTTTCCTTTATACGATTTCTTTCTGTTATTTTACATTTATTTCCTATATTCAGTCCACCACTAACCCTGTGCTAATACCAAATGTAGAAACTTAAATCAATACAACCACACAAATGCACAACATTACACGCTGTTATGACTGATTACTCTTAAAATTTTGCATTAGCTTATACCAAGATTAAGACCAACTAACTGGTTTTTAATGTTGATCATGATCAGATTGACAAGTAGTAAATCAATTAATGGTAGTTGGGGAAGTTAACCTATCATTAACATATCTTTTTATGATATTAGTATGAGTTTTGTTGTTGTTTATAATTTAAATATCTCATTATTCACTAATTGATATTTATTTTAAGGTATTTATTGCTGATCACCAACCACCACCTCCATCTAGTGTACCTGATCTAATGTCAGAATTAATTAGTTGGTTAAGTTCTGATGAAATAGCCGATATGCATCCAATTGAATTAGCTGCGCTAACACACTGGAAACTAGTGTTTGTTCATCCATTTTATGATGGAAATGGACGTACTGCTCGACTTCTTATGAATTTGATTTTAATGCGTTCTGGCTTACCTCCAGCTATTATCAAAATAGAAGATCGTTTTACTTATTATGAATTGCTGAAAACAGCAAATGATGGAGATGTACGTCCATTTATTCGTTTCATAGGTAAGCTTTTGTGTAATTCAACCTTTTGCGTACATATTTCATAGTTCAAAGATATATTTGAACAATTATCGACAGAACAATTACAAAATGAGCCTAATATTATTTAGTTCATTTTATAAGATGAAAATCGATGCATGTAGATAAAAATTTTGGTGTCCATTATTTTCTCATTGTCATAAAACAACCAAACAATTAGGATTTCAGTAGTTTCTTCGGATAATAATGGGATCCATCGATTGCTGGATTGCCCCTTGGATCCATATTCAGCGTCCTGTTCCATAGTTCTGGCTGGCGTAGGAGTAGGTTGGAAGATAGCTAGATGTTGCTACATTAAATCACCATGTTGATCTACCGAGTCATTGACTGTTGGTCTGAGCTTTTTTAGTAGATGCAAACTATTCGATTGAAGTGCACCTCAATAATCGTGATCGGTGGCTGGGGACCTGAGGTGAAATCTTTACAATACACTGCTAGACACTGCATCCAATAGTAGCCGTGAGACAAAGTAGACACATAAAATGATATCAGACTGATATTTAAATATTTGAAATGAGTTTTGAGTCATGAATGTTCGTCAGAAGCTGATAAAATCCTAGACTGCAATTTTATCTTCTAAACTTCACCCAAGTTTTGGTTGGTTCGATTATTTAGTCATTTTGGGGTAACTACTACTAATATAATCAGTAGTAAGTTGTAGTTTGTTAAACCTAGGTTTGTTAATTATTTGCGTCTGATGGTTTGGTACACAAGTCCATGGTCTAATACGTCTTTAACTTTTTCATTCACATGGAAAATTGCATGCTTCTCGGACACATTCATCAAAATGTTCGAGATCATCGATGAGATATCCTCGCAGTGACCTTGTCTGAGACTGATTACTGTAGAGAAGACTCATCTACTATGCGTAACCTACTGTAAATCATGGATATCTCATTACTTTATGTCTGTCATTCGTCTGTATATATTGTTTTCCAATCATTTCAATAGCTTCCTGCTTTTATAGAAAACCCACAATATCGATGCACTTAAAATCGTGAACAAGATGATCTGTGGTGCTGTTATACTTAAGAGGGCGGTTGTCACTTCTCGTCCGCTTACGTTGTAGAAGAATAATTCTTCTTAATGGACCTGATAAGGACGCAGGGTTAGTGGTAGTCTTATTGATCTGGGAGGGAGTGATCGAATACCTTGGGATACAACTGCTTGAGACCGGTCACACACGGCGTTTCTGTGAGTTTTCGATTTGTTAGCTCTGTACTTCAAAAGGCCTTATCGTCGGAGACGGAAATCCATATCCTATCATATCATAAGGTGAGGTGTGACATTTTTAGGGTAGTTCTCTTCTAACTCCTTCCTTCCATTGTGAGAAGATAACATTGTGCCCCCAAATGCCCTGGTACGGCCGAGAGTGGGGAGAGTCACCTCTCCCTCTCGAAATGCTCTCATATAGCCACGCGAATATATAGCCTCTGCCGGGGAAGTCCTACTCACTGCCTTCTCGTGGCGGGGGTGTTGTTCACAAAAGTGAGAGGACAAAAAGCGAATGTCCGGCTCTTTAACCGGGTTGGTGGATGTGGAGGATCCACCTAAGGGAGTTGGAAAACCCTGATTGAAAACCAATGGTGCACATGGGCTCCAGTATCCTGAGGGAACAAATGGCGTACGAATCAACCGTTGATCACCGGCTACTATAGGACTGAATCTCCTCACGATGCTCCACTGCATTGTGGATCAGACATTCAGGTCAAAGGCTCCGGGTGTGGCCCCCTAAGAAAACCACCTGCTTCAGTCTGGGCACCTGGGCAGTATCACAGCCCTCACACAAATCGAATGAGATTTGTGAGGCGCATATTTATCTGGTGCTTCCTTGTACCAATATTTATGTGTTTAAATAAATAAATAATAAAGGTATGTACTTGAAATTAATCGGGGCTAAAAGAGAAACCCGAAGCCGCATATTGTTTTAAAGTGTCGTCAGATCAGTAGTTATTACCACGAAACAAATCACTTTGTTTCAACAACTTACTGCCATACTATTTTTACTGTTTCTCTTCTCAACAGTTTCAGAGAATAGTTGTGTGTTTTCTGTATATGTTGTCTGTAATAAAACAGGGAATTGTTTTATTAACATCATTTATTCATAAAATTAGATGATCTTGTCCTATGGAAAGTTGGATAAGAAATCTGTTCACAGCGAAGGCTTTGGTAATTCATCGATTTAACCTTGATCTTTATGTTCAGAAACTGTATATTCAACCCCTTGGTTTACTACAGTCTTATTACCTCCCTCTTTTTATGCTGTTATTTATTTATTGACACCTTTTTTTTCTCCTCACCTTCCAACATATTCTTAAACCAAACAATTGTCTTTCACGTATCTGTTCTATATTGTATTTTGTTATAAATATGATTGTACAGCTTCCGTGAAGATTGGTATAATTTTTAATTCAATAAATAACAAATTATTATATAATAAAAAGTCGTAGATTATCTATTCTCTTTTATGCGTATACATTGTTTCATATTTGTGTTACAAATCCCTTAATTGTAGTAGTTTACTCTTTTCTTCACTTTTTTTTCTAATAGCAAAATGTACAGAACGAACACTTGATGAATATTTAGAAGCAGCTGTAATAAATCATCAAACAAAATCCGATCATGTTACTCGTATTCCAATTGAAAGTGTATTGAATGATGACAAAGAATCAAGTTCAGTAACATTTGCTGTTCATGAGTCAAAATCTTTAAGTTCATCGTCAGCCTATAAGTTTCAATATTCTTCGCCACGACGACAACAACAAGCACGGGGTATTCATCCTTATTCATCAAGACTTGCGTCTTTTGCTGATCCTGAAGATTCAACTATCCAATTAGCTTTACCGCCGAATATAATTTTTGCAGGTGGTTAGTTCTGTCATTTCATCAGGGATTAAGGACAGATATTAATACGAAACTGTTGTTGTACATCAATGAATAGTACTAATAATAATGACACTAATATTTAACCAAGAGTACTGCTTTTCAACTTATTTTTCTACCCATGTACTTTTATTTTAATTTTTTTTTGCAAATGAGTTTGTCTTATTGAACATTTACTTATTTTTCTGAGAATAATGTTCTGGAACTTTTAATGATCTCGTTTATTTATTGTTCTTCTTTTGGTTTGTTTATGATTTCGCTAATCATTTACGTTTGGATTTGTAACTCAAAAGGTAAATCTGTACACATTATTATTATTATTATTATTATTATTATTGTACACAGGAACGTACTTAAAATAAAAGTTAATTTGAAGGAAGGAAAGCTGTAAAATTGTTGCTTTTCCTTCGTTTTCACTTTTCTGTTTGTCTGGTTATTTTCTTGTTAAATCTCACCAGTGTTAAATGAATCTAGTTGATGCCTACCTGCGTTTATCTGTTCTCTTGTTAAATCTGAGTTATGATGTGTAAGTTTAATTTCATGCTATTATTAATTATCATAGTTGAAAGCGTGAGTCAATTAAAGCTAGACCACAATGGAATATCTGGAAACACTGGACGGCCGTTTCGTCCTATTATGGGACTCCTCAGCAGTGCGCATCCACGAACCCGCTCTCGCGAGATTCGAATCTAGGAGCTCTAGTGGGAAGCAGTGACAAGTGGAGTTCAAAACCACGTCTGTTGTGAGATAGGAACTCACTGAAGACAGTTGGTGAATGGTTGCTCAACTTCGTGGATCAGTTGAATTTAGACATTACCAACGTTGGATGCCAGCTCAGTGGTCTATCGGTAAAGAGCTTCGGCTCGAGACCGGTAGGTCCTGGGTTCGAGTCTCGCGAGAGCGGGTTCGTGGATGCGCACTGCTGAGGAGTCCCATAATAGGACGAAACGGCCGTCCAGTGTTTCCAGGTTTTCCATGGTGGTCTAGCTTCAATTGACTCACGCTTTCAACTATGATAAATACGAAATCTCCCCAAAACCCTTTCTGATATTATCAATTAGTATTTGAAAAGAAACAACACAATAATAGTATATTGAGTAAATTTTCATTTTTTCCACTATTTTGCCTTTGTTTTGAATCAAGTTAGTCAATTAACCTTAATGAGTTTTTTTCAGAAAAAGCTAATTGAAGGTAGTTAGTAAACTGTATTCATGTAAGTAAGACAGTACAGTTGCTCCATTTGTTAACTGTGTGTAATGCGGAAAATAATTAACTTGAGAGCGATAAATACTTTTAAAAATATGAGTTTTAGTTTTTCCATCATGAGAATCGAGGTATATCCAGTTAGCGAATCCCGGATTCTACTGCCAGCCACAATCTGACTTAACTGAAAATCGCTCTTGTGCACAAAATGTATTGATATGTAAATATTCCAGAATACGGTCAATTTCGAGCTTTATCATCAGAATATCCAACATGAATTCTCATTATCCCCAATCACTCCAACCAAGATGTCTATGGGTCTTATGTCAATTACCATTCATTTCTTGGTCTGACTTGACTATTTGTATGTAAGTAATAATCTATAATTTGAATCAGATAGCAGATGTAATTATAAGCAGAAAAACTAGCATATGTAATAGATTTTGACAAAAAGTCAGATCCTCAGATAAATTTAAACACTTAGTTTATAGATTACTATTAGTACCCTTAAGAATCCCATCAGACTGTTTTCTCTTATTTTTTATCTAGACGATTCTTCGTTGTTTAAATAAGTTAGTGATATGTTCTTGTTTCGATATGCAGTCTCATTAAATTATTGTTTATTAATGTTTTGCGAGATTAAATTTGAATTTACGCTTGTTTTTTCGCAAGATGCATGATAACTATTTATGCGATCGAGCTGTAATAACTCCGAATGAGTTATGTTTTGCTACATAACAAAACTAATTAAACAAACGCTGACCTTTTTTTCGATTATGTTCAAGATAATGAAGTTGCTAACGTCAACAGTTCTTTCTTTGTTGTTGAAAATTTGAACTTATTTCAATGCAATAATACGGTTAACAGAAACTGGTGAACCATACCGATGCCTAATATAAAAGGATCTATCGAAAATTTACGTCGTCAACTACGTTCAATTCGATTTAGTTATGATGTCAATTTCCAAGGGTAAGTTCTGGTTGTAGTTTCATACAGATTAAATCTATTGTAAATACTTGGAAGATGTCCCCAATAAGATCAGTTTATTTATTATTCCTCTCCTGTTAAATACATCGACGGGACACTTTAAAGAGAAGTTCGGCTACTCTACAACTACCCACTAATTCCAAACAGTCTGAATGTAACATTAAAATAGGTCTTTCGACTCTAGTTGAAATTCAAAAAGCTATAGACAATCTGAAACGAGGACGAGCAGCTGGTCCAGATGAAGTAACTCCAAAAGTCTTTAAGGATGGTCGTCCAGTTTTAGTGATGTTTGATTAAGATACTGATAAAATACAAAGTCTTTTGGTAGCCCTGAGTAACAATACAAGGATGTTTGGGATGCGTTTCTCTCCCTCCAAATGTAAATTGTTGCTCTAGGACTGGCCTGCATCAACACCTGAACTAAGGATAGAGAGTAAAGTAGTCGAACGCGTCGACAACTTCACTTATCTTGGAAGTCTGATCTGCCCTAATGGGTTGGTGTCTGACAAAATCTCTGCACGGTTTCAGAAAGCTCATTTGGCTTTTGCCAACTTACGTCACCTATATTGAAGGCGAGATATCCGTCTGTCAATTAAGGAACGAATATACTGCGCAGCAGTTCGCTCTGTTCTACTTTACGGCTTCGAAACGTGGTCATTAAGAGAAGATACTCGTAAGTTACTAGTATTTGATGACAAATGTCTTAGAAATATTGCTCGCATCTTCTGGGATCACTGGGTAAGTAATAGTGAGCTTAGACACAGGGTGTTAGAGGATGATGGTTGTGAATATTCATTAACTGAGATGGTTGGGCAACACGTTACGTATGCCTGAATACCACGACGCGCAATGCTGATTAGTATTGGAGATTGTTGGAAGAGTGTTAGGGGCGGCTAAACCAAACCATCGCGTCAGTGCTTGAAGTCACTAACCTCTAGTCTGAGCTATGTTGGAAGGTGCAGACTACTTGGTTGGGGTCCGCATGACTATCGTAACCAATGGTTGGAGACTGTGGGTGACATCGCTCAGAATCGATCACAATGGCGTAGGTGTATACACTCTCTGTCTTCCCTTAAACTATGATATTAAAATTGCTTCATATCTGTCTTCCTATACTATATCCTTATACACAATCTTTCTTTTATATATTACCACCATTAAATTAACTATTTCTATGAAATCGGTGTTCATCTTGTTGTGCTAACGAGGTATGGCAACTTGGACCGACGCATATATGTGCCTGGTCCTATGTTGTAGCTGACCGACTGATATATATGTCGTACTTAGAACTGGTTCACTAATATTTGAGATTCTATGTTGTTTATCTGTATACTATTCCACAATGCGACATCATGATATACCGATTAGAGAATGTAAAGTTCCTCTGACTACATCCTAATTCAAAAATAGGATACATTTTAATGTTAAATTGGCTTTTGACCCATACTTTTCGTGATAATGCTATTGATACTGCCCACCTGACCGAAATAATACAGACGAAGAAAGGTCTGAATCTATGGCCCATCGTTTGATAATGGAGTAAGCTTACCTAGAGCTTTATCCAAATAAATGAGAGAACTGTTACATTACATCATTGATTACTTTAGGCTGATAGTATTAACTACTGGTTTCACATCTGTTACCTCAACATACAGAGTCTCAGAAAGAATTTGTTTGTTTTATATTAGTACGTTTATCTATTTATCTGCGGTTTTCAATGTCCGTTCCGTCACTAAGAATATCCTTGCAACATCGAGAATCGATTGAAGTTCGAAGTGTAAAACGTTAGGTGCTATCTCAGTTGTCTGTACGTTAAGTGCCAGACGAAATTCCCTAAGATCATGGGGTCTATCCTTGGTAGAGTCTTGAATTCGCACTTCCAAGGAGTCTCGTACTAAAAAGAAATAACTGTCTAGTACTCCCTGGTTTTCAAATGTTTTCTACCCATAATTTAAGATTTCAAATACATAGTATTCGATTTGACCATCAATAACTGAAAAACAATTACGCTTAACATTCTAATGAGTTATATTTTACTGATGCTATATATACATATATGCTTTCTTGTTTATTTTAGTATGGTGTTGGGTCAGTCATCTGCATTTGTTGAATTTTATCGGCATTTACTCTGTGATTATAATGCAAAAGTCACCAGTTACCTAGTTGAACTTGGATTTGGAATGCTCGGTATGATTTTACAATAAGTTAACACATCCATTAATACTATTGATAGATTTATTTAGGTTTTTTCTTTTTTATTCATCTTATCAATTATGACACAGTAATGAGAGTATTCGCATGTGGTGATATCGATTTCATTTTTATGAAAAAAAACATTTTCATTATGTATGTAGATATTATGTTGATTGCAGATTCTTGTGAAGTTATTTTGCGTTTTCGAATGGGATGAAATAAAAAAATACTATACTAGGCTGAGTTTCATGCACTCCTAGAAAATCGTAAACCTAGACAAAACTAGTTTCAGTAGAATTTCTCTCAACTCATAACACGTAAACTACGTTACTCCTTATATAATTATCACATTTATGGTTTAGTGATTAAAAAGTTTAACCTTCGACTAATTAGCTCCAGGTTTGAAAACACCTCCACCTCATTTTAGGGAGATGAATAGTATCGCTAGGCTTCACATACAAAACTTGCTGTTAGTAACCAAGTAAATAAATTTGTACTTGGCGAGTAATATACTCCATTTTACCAAGTATTATCCATAATTATCACTTTATTCTCTTTTTTTTATTCGTCATACATGTGTGTAAATACAGGCACAACAGACAGTAGATTTATGGAAGTGCTTTATCGTATTCTTCGAGATCTTTTCTCTTATCGACCATCGATAACAATGGCACAATTTTTTGTGACTGGATTTGCAGAGCGTAAGATTGAAATGGCTACCACTGTTGCTTTACATATAGGATCCTTAATTAAACATCAGGATAAGAATAGAATACATTCCAATTATCATCATCAACGACAACACGAGAGCCGTCATCATAATGATCAGCTGAAGGTTAATTCAAACACACAAATACCTTTAGCATTGCCTGGAGTTTCATTGCATCGATCAATTGAGCGAAATGTTGAAAAATCACTTGTTTCATTTAATAATAATAACAATAATAATGATAATAATATTGGATTCTGTAGAAAAATTGTACATTCCAATGAGAAAAATCCTCTAATGTATAATGATTTGTCGAACGAAACCAATTGTACTGTTTTAAATGGTAATAAAACAACTGTTCAAGGTAGAGAATGTTCACAAGAACCCCATAACTATAGTAATGATCGTAATGTAAATGGTAAAGAAGCAAAGTTTTACAAGACAAAAACAGCAGTAGGTTTTTCTTTTACCTGCCTTTCGTATTATCATTATTATTTTATAAAATGACTTTCATCTTCACTTGTAAATTAAATTTTTCTCTTTGTTGACATTCAGTGTCTAAGTTAATCAGTTTCTATTGACCTGTAAGTTTATTGAATGGGCGCGTTAATATTGCTTGTATTTACATGTTGTTTGGAATTTTGTATAGTTGATTTTAATGAACATACTCATTGAACAAGTGGCTTTCATGATTTAACAGGCTGATAAGTAACGTTCTCGTATTTAGAGCGATAAGCACTGGGTTCCAGCTTCAGCTGGATGTATGTATGTGCAACTGACCTGTTCCAAATAAGATAAATTTATTTATTCATTTAAACATATGGACATTGGTAGAAGGGGGCACGAAATACATACACACCACACAATGACAGTAAGGTGATGAGATGGAAAGTGTAAAGTGCGTATAACAAAGAGAAGAATAGCAACGAACAGAAATTAGTGTACGAGAGTGAAATGATGACAATTATCACAGTAATAATAACAATGATAATGGGAGAAATATTTCAATTAGCGAAAATACAACCAGAATGAATTTCAGTCACATAAGTTTCGCTCACTTTTATGAGGAAAGCAGGATCGCCACTGGTTTCTATTCTGATGTCTGGTAACTTCTCTAGCTACTGTGTTGCTCCATTTCTAGGATCCCAACCAGGGAGTCGTGAAGGACCAACAAAAGTCAGTCCTGTACAGCTTTCTTTCATATCACGACACCATGTCATACACTGACTAACTCTCCGCTTTTCCCTGTCAGTCCCAGCGTTGGCAAATAGTGCGCGACGTGGAATTCTCTGGAACGACGTTCGTAAGACATCTCCAAGCCACCGAATTGGCACACTCTTCTTCAATAGACAATCCCAGAGAACAGTCCTGTCCCCTAAGTGCCCTGGTACGGCCGAGAGTGGGGAGAGTCTGCTCTCCCTCTCGAAATGCTCTCATATAGCCACGCGAATATATAGCCTCTGCCGGGGAAGTCCTACTCACTGCCTTCTCGTGGCGGGGGTGTTGTTCACAAAAGTGAGAGGACAAAAAGCGAATGTCCGGCTCTTTAACCGGGTTGGTGGATGTGGAGCATCCACCTAGGGGAGTTGGATAACCCTGATTGAAAACCAATGGTGCACATGGGCTCCAGTATCCCTAGGGAACAAATGGCGTACGAATCAACCGTTGATCACCAGCTACTATAGGACTGAATCTCCTCACGATGCTCCACTGCATTGTGGATCAGACATTCAGGTCAAAGGCTCCGGGTGTGTCCCCCTAAGAAAACCACCTGCTTCAGTTCGGGCACCTGGGCAGTATCACAGCCCTCACACAAATCGAATGAGATTTGTGAGGCGCATATTTATCTGGTGCTTCCTAGTGCCAATATTTATGTGTTTAAATAAATAAAAAATCGAATGGAAGACGGCCCTGATGTCAAGAAACACTACGATTGTTGATCTGTGATAAGTATGACGGTGTTCTAACATTTTATGGAGGGTGAAGATATAATCAATACGTCATCGATCAGAATGAAAACCATCCTGGTCCTCGCGAACCAATCTTTTCCGCGTATATGACAGTCCACGAGGTATGACGGAAGCCAATAGTTTAGACGCTATCGGAAGTAGACCTATTCCTCGATAGTTGTTTCGGAGACGACGTGAACCCTTTTTAAAGATAGGCACAACTATCGACTCACTCTACCATGTAAATAGCTCAGTCAGTCCCATAACCAGAAAGTCGCCATCATCTTTAAAAAGGACTGGAGGTATGTCATCTGGGCCAGGTGATTTGTGTCATTTCAAGAGTTGGAGTTGCTTGAGGGCTTCCGCCTCATTTGGTGGAGCAGTCGTCATCGGCCATGGAGAGTAGGACAGTCTGATTGATGTCATCGAGACAGTAGACCAGTTAGACTGCTCCTCAAGAAACTACCCATTGTCCAAGAATAGATGTTAGTGATTGGCATCCCATCATCTTCACAGATTGCTTCATTCACACCAGACGTCTTGCTGCTAGTGACTGGAATGAGTTAAAAGAGCTCCCGGCAGGTACTAGATTCAGCTGCTGCTTTTAACTTGTTAGCACGCTCTGACCACCATGCGAGCATCGTTTATGGTCGAACTCGCGGTCACCCGTTGTAGACCGACGGGCTTCGATGGGTTGTAAGGAGCCTGTAAAAACTCAGTACTTATAAGCGGAACGTATCGCGAAGCTTCAAGAGACTTTGCTCGTCGTTTTTATGGCGTCATGCAATCGCAACCAATGTTCATCTATACATTTGGGTGGGATGTCAACTAACCCTGAACCTAGCTCTGTTTGATCTTTAGTTGCAACAGAAGCTGCAACCGATTTACTGATATCGATCCGTTTAGGACAATGAATTTGTTGGTCACTGAAACGTAAAGATTAGTGCAAACAAGAGCATGATCAAAGTCCAGATAAATACTCCAAAAAGAGTGGCGGTCTTGTACACAACCACGCCAGCGGTAGTTTGTCGCGATGTGATAAATCTGAGCCCAGATTTTAGGTGCAAAGGGAGGACGCCAGGCAGCACATCGGCGATGACTGTGCCGGTAGTTAGTGCTAACCAGAAACAGACTGTAGTCTGCGCACAGTTGCAGTAGGCTGTCGCCGTTATCTGACCTATGACCAACAAGTGCCCATTGATCACTTGAACAACTCTCTTCTATGCCTAAATGCCTGACCCGAACATTCAAGTCTACGGCTAGTCCTAAAATATCTGTCGAATTCACTTTCTATAAAAGTAGTGTTAACTGATGGTATAATTTATTGGGTCTGCAATCTGTCGGAGCTGTCTTTGATTTATCTATTAGTCGTAATAAAAAAATCGAATGAATACATTTCATTTAGAAAAGAAATGTATGCTACGCATTATACGATCTACATAAAGCCGTACTGTTTATTTCCTTACAATTACTCTAACTCTTTCCGTTATATTTAGAGTCTAAACGCTAAACTAAAATTGACACCGAAATACATTGCTGTTGGATAGCTATTGGACAGAAGGTCTGCGTACTTCAAACTTATGTCGTTTCGTATTCATTGTCAAAAAGCAGAGATGTGCAGTTTTATGCGATTTGATACGAAGTCAACATGGTAATGTTAGACGTCAAGAGTAATTTTTCTGAACCACCGTTGATAATCTGTCAACCAATCAGGTTTAGAACTAAAACAAAATCTTAGCTTAAGAAAAATTCATTTGAAGTACCCAAATAACTTTATTTTTCTTTCTTATAACTTTTTATTCATTGAACTTTTAATTTGTCTTACAAATCATGAATCATTATAAAATGGTTTAATTTTCTTAAATCCTATTTTGTGTAATATTCAGAATGCTGATCTTAATTCACGTGATCAACATAACAAATTCAAAAATGAATATGCTCAGTATGAACACATTTATCATCCTTCTCATTCATTGGACAATAACAATCCACGACGTTGTTATACATCTCATACACTATATGAAAATTGCACAAAAGTATCCGATCATAAATTGACCGCTACTGCTACTACCGGATCCGTCAGTACGATGAATGTAACTTCAATGGTACCAATAAGATCACTTGACGCCCTAAGTGATTTGAAACAACACTCAAAAGAGAATTATGATACATCATCATTTAAAGATCACTATAATAATACTAATGAACATTTATTAATCAGTGGTAATGATATTCCCTCAGTGATTAATCATCAGGATAATCAATCTAGTTTAATGAATCATGAAGATCTTCGAAATATAATGAATTCATTGTTCCAATTAACCGGTAAAGTGAATGGTATGCTTACACGTATAAATAAATTAGAGAGCAGACTAACAAATGTTGAAACTGATTGTTCGTTTAATCATCGTTCAAGAACATATAGTGGAGTAAGTTTATGGTTAATTTCTAATTCATTCATCATCGATTTTTTTTTCTATTTTAAAAAGGAATTTAGTCTTGAAGCTTTGTTGTGTGTCCTTATGTATGAGTTTCACTGATGTAGGTATTTAGCTTGTGATCAATAGCTTCTCTTTCCTGGTCTACTTTTAACTCGTTTACCGGATACAGATTCTTTTACTCGGCTTTGACCCATACTTTAAACGGGAGGGCTAGTGATACTAGTATTTGGTTGCCCAAACCGAAATTGATGAAGCAGGGTTTAAACCAGCGAATTAGTGAATAAAATTTGAATACAGTCAATTAGGTGGTATTGGCGTTCCCTAATCATACTAGATATGTAAACGTGTAGCTCATTCTCTTTTTTTTTCTTTTCAAAAGTATGTATAATTGATGAGATTGTTGTCAACAAATCGCTCAGCTTGTCTGTTAAATTCTGAATGGCATAGTGGGGATTGAATGTGGACACTTAAAATAACTTTTCTGAAAATAAAAGGAGAAGGAAATGTAACAGAAATCATTCAATGGTTCCTACCTATATACAAGCGTGCCTCTGACAATAGTCCCTCACAGTAAAAGTCATTGGTAGAAGATGAAGGCTGTGAACAATATATGATTCAATAAAACGATCCAAGAAGAGAAAACAGCAGCCAGACAGCTTACACAAGACCGACATACCAGTGTATGTAAGTGACTATAGACTTGACAAAGAGGTGTGGGCAGAGGGGTAGTCATTTTTGAAGCAGCTGTAAAAAGAAAAAGACATGTACGCCACAAGGATCGCTTGCTCAGAAAACCCAAAGAAGACTGACCATAAAAATGCACTACAGCCGTGAATGCCCTCCTTAATTCTTGTAAAGAAAATACAAATTAAGATACAAAGAGGCACAGAAGTGACACAAGAATCTGTGAAAGAATTGCTGTTCCGAAAAAATAAATGATAGCGAAGGAAAACCGTCGAATTTCAAGTGCACTGAATGAACTTTGGAAAAGGAGAAGTCCTAAGGCTAACAAACGATTACTCAATTTTTATGTTAATGATGCTCAAGTCGTGCTAGTAACAGAAATATGAATGCTTTTTTCCAACTCAATTTTCAGCATGATCTTTACAGTTTTCTGATTGGTCGCTACTACGTCTTGAAGATCAAATCTATGCCTTCGTTGTTCTGTATGTTGAGTTATATCATTTTAAGTTGTCCGACTTGAATATCAAGTTCTTCTTACACCTCATCTTCGTCCTGTGTTAGTGATCACTTATTGAAACGATGTGTCCTAGTTGATGTTATTCAGTCCGCAATAGGACTATTCGTATAAAAATAGCTTGGTCGTTTCTAATATCCAAGTATGGTAGCCCAACCAGGAACCCGAATGCATAGTCGTTTTTATAAAAACATAACTGATAGACATACAGATAAAAAGATATCTAGAAAGAACATGAATGAGGATTTAGGGATAGTCATATAACTGAGTACGAGAAAGCCAATAAAATTGACCCGATGCATTTTATAGCACGTGACTGGTTTGATCTCATGTAACCCAAAAGAGTATGCGATTGTATAAACTTGTAATGTTCTTGTTATGGTATGTTCTGCTATGCGTTAGTAGAAGTGACCTTAACCTAATCGATAATATTGACTAGGTTTCAATTTATTGCAAACACTGGAAGTCCTTGAAAGACCGATAAATCCGAATCATGCATTATCAATGATAGATTGTAGATTACACTATGAATTCCTTCGTTAGTTATTACCCAAACATTTATGCAAAACTTCTTTAAACAGTTTCTTATGGAAACACATTAATTTTTCTAATTAAGGACACCGTTGTTTGTATTCATTGAGATTGTTGGTTTCAAGTTGTATGTGTTTTTTTTAACATAAACCTATAGAATACTGTTGGTTCAAATCAACATCTCACGGATTCAATTGATATATATGGGAGTAGAAATATTGTCAATCCTACTAGTTTACTTCATGTTGTTACAGGAAAATATAGTAGTTATTTGCCCATGAACTCAACAAATTCGCTTCTTGTCACATCTAATAGTGGCAGTTCTACGTCGGATACGTTCAATAAAACGATTGGAACAAAAACAAATACTACCACGAATACTGTAATGTCATCGTTAACAGTGACGACGGCGACAACAACAACCAACTCTTACAGTGTTACATCGTATGCAGATCGTCATATTCTAAATCATAATAATAAATTATCTGAATCTTTCTTATCAAAACCTAAATATTCGACATCAACAAAATTGGATTTAGAAGATAATAACGATTATCACTATTCAGTTGCTAGTAATCAAGCTATAATGAATAAAACAGAAAATCAGAACGTGAAAATTTCTATAAATGATAATCATCAATCTATCAAAAATGTTCCGAATGCTTTTAATTCATTTCATGATTCATATAAATTCAATGAGAATTGTTATGACTTATCAAGTCGGGTTAGTTTATATATATTGCTCTTTCATAGTTTATGTCATTAAAAAAATGACTGTGATTCTGAAGACGTGTACGTAGACTATATAGTTTGTGTAATGTTCTCGATGTTATAGGGTTCCTTCACATGGAAGCGAAACTAAGTAAAAATGTTGAATTCAGCACTTAGTAAGACTGGAATAATAAAGTATGAGCAACAATTCGGTACGTAACGAAATGTAAGACAAGCAACAGCTCAGCCGTTACGTAATTGTCCACGCGCTTAAGAATTATGCTTAATTTTTTGTTTTTCTGCTATATCCGTCTCTAGTGCTAGAGCTTCACTTACATACATCACAACTGCTTTTTGTCATCCAGAGATTTGTCGAATGACTGCTACGACTTCTACGGGTGTCCATACATCCGCTAAAAGAACTATCATCATACGATGTTCTTAAATCAAATTTTCATTTATTGGAGGTTGTGAGACATATAGTTTGTTTTCTTCCAATCGCCTATAACATTTCAATCATGTTTATTTTGTTTTCGTATCCTGTATATAAACATGCCATTTTATCATTTCGAAAAATCCATCCATTTGGCTAGTGGTTTTGTCTTTGATCTTTAATCATCTCGCGAGTAACCATCATTCGTTCACATTATATCATTGCGTTCATCTGTCGATTAGCATTCTGTTCATCAACTTTGACAGTCGAAATTTCGTCTAACTAAATCACAGAAAACCTTTTTTTATAACATATCAACATCCTTGTATCAATTTTTAAAAGAGCTATTCAGTATAAGAAGTCTGAATTCTGGTGTTAAGTCATAACTAATGTAAAATTCAAACATGTCCTTAGTATAAAAATGTTATGTCTTCAAAACTCATTGACAAATTTCATGTGCTCAGTCACACATCAGAATCCTAGTTCCAACTAGGTCTTCTATTATCTTAGTATCTCTGACTTGGCCGAATACACACCCGATCAGCACAATTGTCCCTAAGCCGGCACCTAAGTTCTTATTGGTCTACTATTCGCTAGTTTCTCTGTGTCCCCGGCTTTTGAGTCCAAAATCAGTAATTAGCCTCCACTATCTTCATATCTCAAACAGACGTGGTTTATAAACACATACCGGACCACACCACACCATAGAATGAAAACTAACAATCATCAATAAGCAAGCTAAAAGTGTATGTGGATGGGGGAGACTATAATTAATAAAATGACAGTTGGGAATGGTAAGCCGTACGACAGTAGTTTCTAGGTTAATCGAAAGCTTGTGATAAAAGGACCCCGAATAACCGGATATGACCGAAGGTGAGGAGGGTCCGCTCTCCCGCTCGGGAAACTCTTCATATGATCACGCGTGTATAACCACTGCTAAGGAATTCCTACTCACTGCCTTCCCGCGATGGGGGTGTTGTTTACGAAATTGAGAAGACTAGAAGCGAATGCACGGCACTTAAACCGGGTTGTTGATTGCGGATAATCCACCTAGGGGAGTTGCGAAATCCTGATTTCAAACCAGTGTTGCACACAGTCTCTAGAGTCTGGAGGGAACAAATGGCACATGAAGCTATTCTTGATCGCCGGCTACTACGAGACTACACCTCCTGACGTTGCTCTACTGCCTTGTGGATTAGCCTCCTAGGTCAAAGACTCTGTAAGTGGCCTCCTTAGAAAACCTCCCCCTTTGATATTCATACCCAATCAGCATCCCAGAACATACATATTTTATGATAACTCAGTATAGCGCATATATATTTGGTTTCCCTTTGTGCCAATGTTCATGTGTTTAAATAGAAAATAAAAAATAATATGATAAAAGAAATACATAAGTATAGTAATCTATATACTCAGTAATTATATTGAAAAATTATAATTATTCATTCGGGAAATCGGTTTCAACTTCCGTATTATTCGTTCCGTTATAACAGTCGGTCAAAACTTATTAGGTTAAATCATTACCTTGCTATCTATAGTAAGTTGACCATGGTTGTTGATATAGACCATTGAGTTTTAATTCATTGTTTAGCTTCGCTAAATCTGAAGTTGTTGTTTTAAATCATACTTGTTCGTCGTGGGTGCATATTTCTGAAGACAGACCTATGCCAGGGCAAAAAAGCTATCGATTGCTCTCTCGTGGCGGGGGTGTTGTTCACAAAAGTGAGAGGACAAAAAGTGAATGTCCGGCTCTTTAACCGGGTTGGTGGATGTTGAGGATCCACCTAGGGGAGTTGGAAAACCCTGATTCCAAACCAATGGTGCACATGGGCTCCAGTATCCTGATGGAACGAATGGCGTATGAACCAACTGTTGATCACCGGCTACCATGTGACTGCATCTCCTTACAATGCTCCACTGCCTGGTGGATCAGATCTTTCGGTCAAAGGCTCCGGGTGTGTCCCCCTGAGAAAACCACCTGCTTCAGTTTAGGCACCTGGACAGTATCAAAGCCCTCACACAAATCGAATGAGATTTGTGAGGCGCATATTTATCTGGTGCTTCTTTGTACCAATATTTATGTGTTTAAATAAATAAAAAATAATGATGTTCATTAATGATTTTTCAACTAGTTTTTCAATCTGCGATAAAAAGTGTCTTCAAACGTAACCACAATGTGCAACTCAACCGAATGGCTGTAGTCAACTCTAGGAATAAATCCTCCAATAAGACGGAGGCATATAGCAGTTTACATCCAGTTTTGAAGGCATGTTATATACAAATCTTATTCGATTTGCTGTGGAGGGGAATGTTGCCGTGAAGTGTGTGTGCGAAGAAGTCTGAAATAAAGATAAACAAGAGAAAAGTGGGCCAAAGACTCTGTGAACGCATAGGATAAACTTACTTTTAATAATGTAGTCAGTTGACAACAATTAGTAATAACATAAATGAGATTAAGACGGTCTGATAATCGAAACTAAAATTTAGTACAGTAAGATAAAATCATAAAAATAATCTGTCAAGGTCATCCAACTATTGAATAGATATTACGCAAAGTATTAAAACTAAGATGATTTATTTAAATCAAATATCGATCATAGAAAACGTGTGTCAACTGGAATTTTGTTTCTTTTACTAGCCTATTTCGTATATTGACAAAATTTAAGTAGATGAATTAACAGGGAATTTTCAAATTCGTTTTTGCTCTATGAGTTTAAAGATGTGAACTTTGATTCAGCACACTAAAACCTTCATTACGAAATTCTCGGTCTTTTCACCCACGTAGCCGGTGAATAACATCAATTCATAAAACAAGTTTTGTAAACTGATCTATTGAAATAACATCTAATAACAAGGTTCAATGACAGATATCTTGATATTAAAATGTTCGTAAACTTAATGTGATCCGTTTTGCTAACAATTATGTGTAATAAATACACTAAAGAGATTTGAAGCGGTGACTCCAATGGTTGGGACGTTCAACTTCTAACTGCTAAGTCACAGATTCCAACTCTGGTCTATAGAATTCAGTTTGAGCAGCCAAATGGTAACACTAATCTTTACACTCAGATTGTTACCTAAAGCCTATTGCACACATATGTACTTGGTTAATGAATCATTAAATTGTTAAAGAGATTATTGCTAATGGTATTTTACTAGGGGAAATAATCTTGTAATTCACCTCTGCCCGGGTCTCATTCAAAATATATTGAAGTTCTTGCTGATTTGTTAGATGAAATATACATTATACTTTAAAGTGTTTGTTTTATTAATGTAACAAATCTCTTTGTTTAAAAACTTGTGAATATTTAAACGATATCCTTACTATAGTAGTCCGATTTGTTGGTAGACTGAAAATTATGTTTTCTAAGTAAGTTCTGCTTTCAAGTTATTGGATATTAGATATTTGCTAATTTTTGGAACGGGACGTATATATGACAGCATGATCCATTGTAGCAGAGTACGTAATTATCAAGATAGACTATCATTTTATGTTATTTTCAATAAAAAGTATCTTTACAGTTTTATTCATTATCTTGCATTATATTTAAGAATGGAATTTCGGAATCCGTTCATTCTAAATATGCTGACTCCTTGAAAACTATCAATCATCGATCATCTAGATTACTTGATCTAAATACTTGTTCACTGGTCGATTTAGATCTACAATCTGAAATTCAATCCCCTTCATTCGGTCGTAATAATTCGGCATTACCTTATTGCCCTAAATCATCTGCCGAATATTCTGTCAGACATGACACATCTAATCCATCTGAGAATTCTTATGGTCAGAATAAAATGATGATACCTTCGTTGCCATTAAATTCATCACCTAAATCTGTTGAATCAAAGATTCCAACCAATCAGAAGTCAGAGGCTTCATATCGTGCTCAAGTGGAACGTATAACCAATATGTAAGTCATCTAAATTTTCCTTTCTTCAGTGATTAAGGACGCTTACTGTTGTAATCTAGGAGGTGGGATGGTGACTTAATGCATAGGGCATTCGACTTTCAGTCTGCAAGTCGCTCTCTACCTACTTCTATTAGGCTGCAGAGTGTTATCACTAAATCTCACATGTAAAGTGTCACTGAAAGCTGAGTACACCAACTTGTACTTGTTAAGCGAGTTAAGTTACAAACCTAAGTGGTCATCGGGCTATCGTTTGAGCATACAAAATGTAATGTTTCACAGTTCAGTCCTCCCAAGCTACATATAGCAGTTCATCTTCCATGATAATCTTATCGCACCAACAGAAGTTTTACAGCGAAGATAATCAATATGCAAATTAAGGCCACACATATGCACAGCCTCAAATAGAAATGCATCAGTTCAAAACGTTACACTTTGAAGTAGCATAAAGAAATGAATTCACCAGTTTACCAAAAGAATTCAAGAACACAAAAGTTAAGGATCAATATGATTTCCAAGATCTGTTGAAAAAGAAGTGGGTACATCTTCGCCAAGATAGTTGGTTTTGAGATATATTACTTGGAGTTTTCAGTCACTGACTACTTATATCTCAATGACTCTAATCACAAATCCTGAACTTTATACGAATGGCAGATGGACACCTCGCCTCCTACACAAGTGATTCGCCATGGTAAAAGCCAACAGAGCTTTCGTTAGATACCAATCAATCAGTGAACGTACTGAAATACTTCAATCCCTATGATCAATGTAGACAATTTCGCAGACCAGTCATTAAGCAGCAGTATTTCGTATCTAGATGAAGAGAAACGCATTCGCTCACAGTATTTCTATTATTTTACTTAGATGTTTTGTAAAATGACTCCTGTAGTTTGAAGCTAGTTTTCGTCACGAACTTTCATAACCGGATAGAGGACACTTGAAAACCAAACTCTCATTGAACATTTGTTTGTTTTATTAGTTTGTGACCCCAACATTATACAGTCAGAACCCTCATGTCTCTCAGTTGTCCAATGCTCCCTATGTAAATTTAGAGCTGATGTTATTTCGTTTGGTCATTTAGTTAGTCATTTTAACCATAAATATGTGTTTTTGTAATTTGTATTCGTCACTGCCTGATCCCAGTTGGGTTAGGACTAAAAACCGGAAAGCAATGATCAGTTGTTTTGTCTCATTATCGGACTCCTCCTTGAAGTTCAAATGGAACCATTAAAGTTTAACCCAATGATTCTAATGGTTAAGCATTTGCTGCTATGTTCATGGTCCTGAGTTCGATCCTTGGCGGGGTCGTAGATGTGTACTCCTGAGGAATCCTAAACCAATACTAATCTAGTTCTCTAGGGCTTTCCGGTTCTCAATAATCTCGAAACTAAGATCAGTCTGTGACAAGTACTACCTACAAATTAGACCTATCGAAAACCTATCAACTGAAATAATATATATTCTTTTCCAATGTTTTCATTGTAGGCTTGCCGAAACACAAAATCTTCTTCAAGAGCATCCTCCTGTTGTTAGAATGAACGAAATGCTTAACAGCAACAATAATATCACAACCAATGATGATAGTAATAATGCAGTTATTTTAAAAGCATAAGATTCAAATTCTTAGTAGATTGAATAATTTTCTTTTTTTTTTAATTAATAATTATAGTTTATGAAAAAGAAACCAATTTTTCTTGTTACTGTTTTTTGAACAAATAATGCTTCATTGTTTGTTAGTCTTAATACAACGTACATATTTTTTTGCTCTTTTCGTTAGTCACATTTGTGTGTATATGTGTGTTTACAGAAGAGAACGAATACATTTAGTTTTGTTTGTGATTGTTTTAAATGGAACAAACATACTAGTGAGTTACTTTACCATAAAGTATAAAATGAACCTATTCATATCATTATCGTACAATACACAAAACGATCATATCAATTGCATATTGATCTACCTATATAAATAATAGGGAATAATAATATAATTATCAGAAACACAGTTATAATATGTTTCATTTGTTTATTTTTTAATTTTAAAGCAAAAGTTTAAAATGGAATAGAAAATCCTAAGTATTACACACTTACATAAGAAACAATCTTATTCTAATTTCATCATTTTTTTCTTGTCAAATCACTTTATTCCATTGTTATCTGTAGACTGTTTTCAAATTATTTTGTAAAGACTTTGTGAATAGAATATTGTTACATTTACACTTTTTTTTTGTTATACATTAGTGATAATGTTAGTTTAAATGGTTTTCGGTTATTTGTTTTATTGAACATTTGGATTTTAAATGTGCTTCCAATTATATCCCCCAATCAGAATTGGTTAGAATAAACTATAACGATTATTAGTATGATTATTATTTGAAAATGCATCTTCATTCTCTTGAAACATTCTTTTCATGTTATGAGTGATGATAGTAGTGACTTATAGGAAACCCGGTTGTGATTTTTTGCTAATATTACTATGTTGTTTTACAATATTCTTCAACCCTTTAATCTTGATTTTAGAAATATCTTTGTTTTGCTTTTTTAAATTGTTTATCATTTCAAAAAGAAAATCGAGTTTAGTGTGATAATAATATTACTTACTTACTTACGCCTGTTACCCCTCGTGGAGGAGCATAGGCCGCACACCAGCATTCTCCATCCTTATTGAGAGTATAAATATTTGAGGTAGTGAAACTCACGTTACTAATATTATCCCTATTATCCAGTTTATAAGATTGTTACTGTTGTTCTTCCCCCTCCCTATAGAAAATTGTATTTTTATCTATTTTTGTTTGTGTAAAATGATTAACATTAAAAAAAATCGATTATTCATTTGTTGTTGTTGTCTTAACTCTGACTATTGAATATTGTTTGCCAACGTTTTGGATAAAGGTTGCACATAGCTCGTGGCCTTAAGACTCAAACACACTGGATAAGTATTTGTTTTTCCAATTAAGATTTAAATGATAAATTGTACCAAAGTTAGCTAAAAAATATAAAGAACCAATGGTGGCGGATTAGCAACCGAACCAAATAGCTAAAATAAATTTTAAAAAACAATTAGAGTAAAAACAGTTCATACTACTTTTATTACTATCCAAATCATTTGTATAGGATTAACACAACCAAACCTAAGACTAGTCAAAAGCTTAGGGTTTAGTGCTAATATAGGTAAATACATGTATACTAAGGTTGAGTAGATAAATAAGAGGTAATCATACAGCAAAGGAGCCTATAATTTATGAAATGTGTACACTCAACAAGCAAAGCATGTTCAGTACTGACGACACTAGAATAATGAAAGTGATGGTTGTGAATGTTCTACATATGTATATCATTGTGTTAAGGCTTTTACTAATTTTAAAAGGGAAGCAAAAATCGGTATATGTAGTTTGGAGTGAGTGTTTAGGAGATAGGCATTTATATTTCTTGATCTCCGATCGTTAGCACTGGTGGTGGTGAATGAGAGATGACAGCACACAAATAGGGTCTATAATAGGAACAAAAGCGATTTATTAGTAAAGACGTACTTCCATTCTGTTAGCGATCGGGATCTTGTTTCCCGGGTTGCAAAATATTTTTTTTCCTGAAGGAATTGTATGAGTGTTGATAGTTATGTCGACCTAAAAGTATGAATCTAAAAGCAGAGGACTAGTTGTAATACAGCCTTTCTCTTTGCTACAAACGCTCAAAAATCTTAACTTCGACAACAGGAAAGATTAATTTTGATATCTTCAGGGCGTACGTCTCCCAACCTTCTTTTCCGCTTAGTGAAAATCATCACTTTTGAAGGTGGTGGTTATTTAGAAAGAATTCACACTCCTAATATTTTGGTCTTCAAACTCGATGCCTGTAACCTTAGAGATCTCAAACTAACCTATCTGAAGTAATAAAACCGCGAGCATGAGATGACTATTCACCCAATAACTGAGCTAAAACACTTCGTCAACTTAGTAGTTACGGTCGGGATGTGTTTATTGTGAAATGAGGATTTTCCATGTCCGTCCCTATATATTGCTGTGTTTAAGGTCTTCATGATCCTCACAGAAGGATAATAACCTTGGTTTCCAGATATTCTAAAATTTATCTCAACATGTAATAAGAACATTGTCAGCAAAGATGGATAATGGTTAGCAATGGAATCCAGGATGCTCGTTTCATCCTATTTGGGACTCGTTGGCTGGATGTACCTACATCTGAGAGTTGATGTTCATTCTGGGACTCGAACCCAGTAACTTTCGCTTCAAACGCCATAGCGTTATCCACTCGGCCACTGAGTCCTCATAGCCACTTGCTTGTGTGATGGGGTGAAGTTTAAATTCATTTAGTTTTGTTTGAATCTTCCCATCGAAAAGTACTTGGTTCGAGTCCCAGAACTCTGAGATGCAGGTACATCCAGCCGACGAGTCCCAAATAGGACGAAACGCGCGTCCTGGATTCCATTGCTAACCACTATCCATCTTTGCTTACAATGCTTGTGAATGAAGGCTATATCGAGGCCATATGCACATATGCCAATTAGAGACTGATCAGTTGTAGTCCTAATACATCGATGGGAAGATTCGAACAAAACAATACTAAACGAATGTAATTAGAACGTTTTTCAAATTTTTACGATCTTCATAACCGTATTCAATTCAAAATCCACGGAGTTCATGAAATTAAGGCTATTGTTTTTAAAGTAAACGTCAAGTGGAGCTTACAATTTGAAGTGTCGAATATCTCAAAGATGTAAAACTGTTGTACCAGGCGGCCTCTATATTCGGTCATAAGTGCAGTGATCGTCAGTGTACACTCTTGGAAATCCTTATACTAAGACGGGGTACTTGTCTAATTAATAATGTTTTTCAATAGCTGTCTAGTTGAAGTCAATCTATACCAGATCAATCAAAATGATGGAATTGAGGTCATTTAAGGGCAAAAGACCGTCTCAGATTAGCAGAATACTTATAGATGAATGTAATTTGGATAATAAATTGTTTTATAATAACTAATTAGCTTAGTCCAACAAACTCACATCCAATGAGACAGATTCAGCAACAACAGCAGTCGACCCTCAACTCAGAAAATCACAAAAATAACTAGTTCCGTATGAACAGATAGTTTATGATTAATCAAAGAAAGAAGCTATACGTTTAAAACAGTCAGTTACTGATCGATGATACAGTCATAAATAAATTTCAAAATTCGTAATGTGAACTTTTCTCATAACTTCGAATTAATATAACCTAATTCAGAGTTTCCATATCAATCTTGAAATATTTAATACGGTGGTCTAATAATCGGTTTGAACTGAGGAATTTTAGGCATTGCACGTTTAAAACTAAATACAGCTGTATTTGTTATACGTTGAAAACATCGAAACAATTTTTTTCACTAACCAGATATCCAGTTTTAACAGACAGTACCAATCAATTCAATACTATGGACACCACATCTTCAACACGTTAACATTTTTAGTCTAGTCCAGTCTTAATATTAGTTATGTCAATTACTAACCAATGAAATCGTTGTTTAAGCTCCCACCACGTCGATCTGGTCTGATGTCTATGTAGATTATTCCTGTTGTATGTGACCTGCCAATTATTATCTTATCATATTAGTGTAACCCATAATTCTTATTCATTTCGACAAGACATGCAATACTGGTCGGTATGCTCATGCATTCCACTTAATGATTATAATTAATTTAATTATTGTACTAATCTAATTGTTTCTATGTCTAGAAACAGATAAAGTTTAAAGCCAAATTGTCCTTGTTCTGACTATAGCTTTCACATAGACTCTGTGGTCGCCCGCACCGCGTTTACAGTTCTAATAGTATATCTGTAGAATAAATTAAATCCTACACTTAATTTAGTGATTCATTCAAATAAAGCGAAGTTATTATTTTTTTCAAATAGAATTTCTTGGCTTGATTTTTATTTTAAATTATGCATGATAAGCTAAACATAAATAATGAGATTGGTAAATTTATCTTATAGTGTAGTGTATCCATCATACAAAGCTATACAAACTGATTGTATTATGTAAAACCATTTACAGACTAAAATTTAAAATAATAATATGAATTGTTTTAAAAAAAAGAGTAGGAGTGAACAAATCATGAAATTGACGTGGCAACAAAAAAAAGGTGGGGGTAATCACTGTGAAATAAATACAAGATGATAACTTCATAATTAAAAATTCAAAATCATTAAGTAACAAAACCAAAAAAATGTCCTCCCTCTCTCTCTCTCTCTCGAAGAGAAAGATATCATGATAAGTGTTATATCGTGTATTCAATGTGCTCAATTAAATTACTATTAAAACATGTATACGTATTGAATGGACTTGATGAGGCACACAGGTAGAAGCTATATAAGTGAATTCATATAAAAATGAATCGGACATATTTTTTTCTTTTTCTTCGTTATTTTTGTATTTTTACAAAACATAAATGCAACAAGAAAATCCATTTTGAAAAAAATTATTTTTTTTTCAGTAATAAAAAGAGAAAAAAAACACAAATAAACAAATTTTCATCGAATGTTTTTCCTTCATCCTGGGTCATCTATCTTTATTCTACAGTCTTTGTTGTTTTTGTTCTTTTTTCTAAAAAATAGGAGGAATTGTGAAACCACAAAGATCTTTGTACCTTCTTCTTCTTCTTCGTTATCATCGTCATCATATTCTAACGCATAAATTTAAGCAAGATGATATTTTAGCCGATTTATTACGTGAAAATAATTTTTGTGGATAAATCACAGTACAGCCATAATTATGCGCACACATAATACCACCACGTAGCTTATCAATTGATTGTGATGATGATGGTGATAATGATGTAGCAGTAGTAAAGGAATGTTTTGAAAATAATTTTAGTTTATTATTACCATTCTCATTAGAATGATTGTGTGTGTTACCATTATAATGAGTAGTTTGTTGTTGATGGTGATGATTTGAATAGGACGAATGATTAATACTACTCATGGTACTAGTATTTGTAGTAGTAGTAGTAGTACTATTAGCAGAGTGAACAATTTCATCACTGTATACTGGTTGTATAGCCATAATTTGAAATTTCTTTGGTTGATGACTGCCGATATTATAATATAGACGTTGAACACAAATTGCTTTTTCAATTCTTGTTATCCAATACAAATCATAATTAGATTGATCTAATAATATGATACGATTATCTGATGTGTAAATTATATGTCCAGGTACTATATTGAATGAAATACTTGGTGTAAAATGAAAATATCCATCAACATCAATATCTAGGATTAACACTTTATCTTCTGTTGGACATGTTGCCCAAACATTTTGTTCATTTTTAGCTAAACATAAAAAGTAAGGTGATAATTGTGGATCATTTAAATACCAGGTACGATCAATTCTAGTTAAATCATTTGATTTTAAACGACATATCATTGCATTCGCTGGTTGTGCAATGTAAATATCACCATTAGTATGATCAATATCTATGCCAAAGATAATTGGTTGATTTTGTCTTTCTAAACCAACATTATCACGATAAAATAAACTTGAAGTAGCTATAATTGGGAATGGATTATTCGACGATGATGTATTTTGATTTGATTCAGAATTGGTCTCATGATTATTATTATTTCTACCACCACCATTGATCAAAGTAGGTATATCGTTCTTATTCGAATGATCTTCATCAGAAATTGTACAACAGACTAGAATACCAAATTCAGACTTTTCTATAGAGTCTAATCCTTCTTCCTCATCCAATGTAGATGCAGTTGATGTATTCGGTGTAATAATTCCCGTCAAATAAATAACAGAACCATGAAAACGTAAATACAAAATTTTAATCGGATTTGAATTATCAACAATAATTTGACTACTAATTTGATTTAATCCATATTTATGATTATTATGAATAAGATTGAAAAATCCATTGTTAAAATGTAATTGCTGTTTCCATAACAACAATTCATCACATTTTAAATTTGTTGTTAATGTAAAACGATGTATATTACAATTGTTATCTTCATGATTGATCATTAATTTCATATCAATAGGTTGATAGATTTCACCTGGTCGCATAATACAACAATCTTTACCTTTAGTAAGTACATGAAATTTAGAATTACGTTCCATCATTATACGTAAACCTTCAGCATCACGATATGATACATAAGATGATGCTGTTTCTATTGGTAATAGATCATTTGATGATATTGAACTTGCTGTAAATCTACGTATACGTGATGCTGCAGCATGAAATCGACCAAAATGACGTATTGAATTAGTTGGTGAAATAGTAGATGGTGTACTAGAACGTGGATTAGTAGTAGTACAAGGTAATGTACTACAACCATTATTATTATTACCATTAATAGTATTATCACGATTAGTATTTTTATCTAATAAGTTTACATTATTTACATTTAATGAATGTTGTTTATTATTATTATTCAAAGATGTTAATGGTAATTTATCATCGAATGCTTGTAAATTCACTAAAATCTCTTTAAATTCATCAATGATTACAGCACGATCAATTTCATTCATTCGTCCTTCACGTTGTCTTGATGCAATATCGTCTACTATGTAATTTAACATTCTTGAACTAACTTGTAATGATGTTTTACGAGTAGGTATTGGACTTTTACCAGTGCTATCAGATTGTTCGACTGTTCCGTTATTGTTATTATTATTCATACGTGATACAAAACTATTAATATGATTATTTTTTAAAAATTCTAAAATTGCTTTATGATTAAAAGCGCTGGGAAATGAATCAGCATTACGTGTAGCTGGAATTGGACATAATGCACGGCATATTGGACAAGGAAATGATGTCTTTTCATTGGATTTACCATTTCTATGGTGCTGAAGATTACCGGTATTCGTGTTATTATTATGATTGTTACGACTATTATTGTTGTGACTGTTATTATTGGAAGCAGTAATAGTATTTCTAGCATTGGTTGGTGGTGATGGTGGCAATTTCTCCATATATTTATTTAAACATTTACAACAGAAGGCATGACCACATGGTAATAATTTTGGGTTATCTAAAAAATTTAAGTCAATTGGACATGTGACCATATCTTCCAACGGTTCTAGCACTGATGAACTTGAGCGTCTACATTTTTGAGCCTAGAAAGAACAGAAAAATTGGAAAGATGAAGAAAGTTGAAAAAAAGCAAAGTGAATGAATTTTTTTCTTTATGAATATTTGCTGAAATTCAGGCTATACATTTTTATCTCTGCAACAAAACTGTTTTACTTATTATCCATTATTGATATATTAGATGAAATTAGACAACTAGCACGATGTCCAAAGGGTATATGGGAAGTCATATCCAAGAGTGTAAGACTTATAGTACGCGAATTATTTATCTATTCAAGGTCACCAAACAAATGAATTCTTAAAGCTTAATAATAAGCCATTTCGTACGATAACAAACAACTCTTCTATATGTTAATAAAAGGTTAAATAATAAGAAGAACAAATAGTTAGTGAATGTACCAAATTCAGATCATATTAATGTTATGTTTCAATATTTTATCTGGATTTCCTTAACTTCTCGTCTTTTTATACATATGGGTCAAAGCTTTTCTTGAGTGATTTGAATGTTTTGATGATCCAAGTGATAGGTAGACAATCGTTGATTCTACTATGTAAACTTGTATAAAAACGAAATTATACATAAACTAACCTATGTTCAGTTTAAGTGAATTCACTAATTCATTTTGTACTGTCTTCCCATTGATGTTCAGGGCTGAAATTGATCAGTCTCTTATTGGCATATGTGCATACTGTGCTTACTGCCTCGACATTGCTTTAAGTCACAAGCATTATAGGCAAAGATGGATGGTGGCTAGAAGTGGAATCCAAGACGTGCGTTTCGTTCTGGGATGCAGGTACATCCAGTTGACAAGTTCCAAATAGGACGAAATACGCGTCATGGATCCCACTGCTAGCCACCATTCATCCTTGCCTATGAATTCATTAATATTTAAATCAGTTAGTTGCTTTTATAAATTCCGATGATGTAACGAGAATATAGAGCTAATCTGAAAAAATATAATGTATGTGTGCGATACATTTTTGGTAGCACTCACACGTCAATCAAGACATTTATACAAGAAAATGAATAAAGGTCAATTCATTAAAAGATTAAGTTCAATGGTCATAGTTTCACATATTGACATTTGAATAAATAAATGGTTATTTTAAATACCATAAACACAACTACATGATAGCATCTTTTGTCTCAGTTTATCACCTATGCAACACAATATGACAAATTATTCAATACGGATCACTGTAATTTTAAGTTGAATCACTTGTCCTAAATTTTATACCTGTTAATATTCACTGTTATATACGTCAGGCAATATTAAGATCAATGTAAGTGACGCTTTATGACTGATAACATAGAACAAATTTGTGTCTATTCAAAATAAAATATCAAGTAATTATGTTACAATGCAAATTGGCGGCCTGTTTAAACATCTGGGCTAACTGTTCCTGTCATCTACATATTTCAGCAAGTTATCTAATTTTGTTTGTTTTAATACATCATTATGCCTATTAATCGCACAACCTATTCAGGTGCGTTTCTGAAAAGTGTAAGACCTTTCGCTGTAAAGGTTACAGAAGGCTTAATCAGAAATATCGTGGTTGCTGTCAATATGCAGCGAGAAGAATGTACATTATCCTGATGTGGATTGACTGGGCTGCTAAGTTCTAACTGGCGATCACTCAATATTTATCGTCAGGAAGGACGAAAAAGTAAGAAAAAGGAAACTTGTTGAAGTACTTTGTGCTGAGAATTCTATATTGTACCAAAAATATAATACTGAATAAAGCTAATAATAATAATATTTTGGTTATGACCCTGTGTATTAGGAAACTCACCAAACGTGATTGATCTAAGAAGATTTAAAAATTTTAATTAGGGCCAATGAACAAGATTAACTTAGAGATTAAAAGGAGAGCTCCGTACAGTCACTATACAAAGAGCTAAATGGCTATAAGCAAATATCATGAACATGGTCATTTGTAAAAAGGTTGAAGGTAACCAACTGTGAAATAGGTTGAACACAATAGAAAGCAAAGAATTAGAATAATGTAAATGGCTTATGTTTTGTACATAAATTGACCTTGAATTAAAGATTCTTCTCTTACTCCGCATCTTTTCTCTACTACCTGAGTTCAAGTTTAAGAGTAGTCCGGAGAATCAAACAAGAAGTCACTATCAAGTATTCGAGTAGAAAATATGTCAATTGGAGACAGATGAGCTAGGCTAAAAAATTTTTGAACCGTTGGAAGCCTATATGGAGTGGCAGAAGAAAAAGTTTGAACAGGCTTAAACAAGAATTATTGAAGCTGTCATGCAAAAAATGTGTTTATCCTAACAAAACCCTAAGTCGAATGAGCTACAAGTAACAGAGATCCCTGAATCAATGCTTTTCATGAATTCTATTTTGATTATTAAACTAGTACGAAGATATGTTCCATATTGATCTCTGCAAACTAAATGATACTACAAGAGTCAGAACACCCTTACAAAAACTGGATATAAAAGAACACGAATACCATAGTAACCTTATTTTTACAAATAATCCATGTGACCTTAGTTTTGATGAGATCATTGAAACCCTATCAGAACCTTTTTCAGAACAATCACCTCTTGATAATATTCGCTGTTAACTCCTGAAGATATCTAAAGGACTTGCGGATGACAGTGTAAAACATCCAGGTACAGTGGGTACAATTACGATAGTGTTCGCGTTCTACTGTACCTGGGTTCTATGTTGCTGATAACTGACTGACCAGCTCCATCTACTCCAGTCTAAAATGTTAGATAATATTCGTACCGTTCAAAACAAAGAGTGTAGTTGAAAAATAAGTACATAAACCCGTTAAAAACAAGTGAGTTACACTAAATTAATATCATTTTGTAAATTAGAAATCCGATCAACTAATGATCCGGTAACATATTTAAACCAATTTAATTTATTTCCATTCGTCTGTCATAGATATTCAATTATACAGTTACTATGATCAATATTGTAGTGTACTAAGCGTATTTTCAACAACAAACGAAAAAGAAATCCTAGCAAAAATAAGTCACAAATAGCTGAAATCATAATAATGATAAAATAAGGTAATTTTTTTTTACTGTATACTTCAACCTTGGTCACATGATTTTGAGGACGCTGATTCTATTTGGTAGATCATGTGATTGTACTTTTCATGTCAAATGACCTTAAGATGAACTAATTTCAATGAGAACAATAATTTTAACCGATAGTTTATTAAAAAAATCTTTTGAATAAGATTCATTTTGGACAGAGATTATTATTGATAATATTGATTTATTGATTTGGAACTTCATAGATTTTTTTTATAAAAAAATTATGCCTCACCATACAAGTAACATAGAAATTGTTTCGTTAAAACAATAAATGTTTACTAAGAATTTAAACACATGAAGATACTAGATAAATATATTAAATAAGAATTAGGACATTTATCAGGTGAACCTTTTTCATGACTGATATTATTTATTTATTTATTTAAACACATACATATTGGTACAAAGGGGCACCAGATACATATGCGCCACACAAAACAATGAGAATGGGAAGAGAAAGTGGGAAGATGTGTATATATAAAGGAAAAAAAGGATGAAAAAAAGAGAAGGGTAATGATGGGGGAAACTGAAATGTACAACCAGATGACTCTTTCAGTTAAGAAAGTTAGTACCATTCTTTATGAAGAAAGTAAAAGAAGGTTACAGCAGGTTCGCCACTGGCTTCTATTCTGAGCCATATCTGATAACGTCTCTAGCCACTGTGTTGCACCATCTCTCGGACCCCAACCAGGGAGTCGTGAAGGACCAACACAAGCTAGCCCGTTGCAGCTCTCTTTCATGCCACGACACCATGTCATACACTGACCTCCTCTCCGCTTTTTCCAACCAGTCCCAGCGTCGGCAAATAACGCACGACGTGGAAGTCTCTGGGACGACATTCGTAAAACATGTCCAAGCCACCGAAGTCAGTGTTTCAAGATGGTGACATCAATTGAATTATCGTCTCTGCGCCCGAACACAAGATGCCGAACCTCTGCATTACTAACATGGTGTTGCCACTGGATGTCAGCAATCCTTCGGAGACAACGATGATCGAACACAGAGAGTCATCTAACATCCTCAACTCGGAGAGGTTAGGTCTCACAAGTATAGAGCAAAACTGCTCTCACCTACGCGATGTAAATCTGACCTTTTACAGCCAGACTAACATCACGAAGGCGCCAAAGATGGCCCAGATTGGCATAAGCCGCTCTGGCTTTCATTATACGTGCATCGATCTCACCACTCACGCCACCACCAGAACTTATATAGCTACCTAGATACACGAACTTCTCAATTACTTCAATCTGCTCACCATCCAGGGTGAGTACAGGATTAGAATCCTGCCAGTCTTGTAGGAGTACTTTGCACTTGGAGGGTGCAAAGCACATGCCGTAACTGCGGACACTGATTGCCAACTGATTAAGTGCGGATTGCATGGCTTGGGAATTATCGCACAGTAAGACAATATCATCCGCATACTCAAGATCGAGAAGTCGTTCTCCAGGCAACATATCCACACCGCTATTACTTACATCCATCAGAGCTGTTTCCAGGATGTCATCGATGGCAAAGTTGAAGAGGAATGGTGAGATTTGGCAACCCTGCCTAACCCCGTTGCTCGAATGGAACAAGGGAGAAAGGTGGTTGTATGCCCTCACTCTGCCTGAGGTGTTCGTGTACAGGGCCTTTAAGATGTTGATAAACTTCTCAGGCACACCCTTCTTCAATAGACTATCCCAGAGAACAGTCCTGTCTAACTTATCGAAGGCAGTTAAAATTCAATGGTGCATACATATCAATTCTTAATGTTAACGGTAATATAATCTAATATTATTGATGAGCAACAGTTTTTATTATCATTTGGTTCGTTTTAAAAGTCACACTTTAGAAGAACGTCGAGAAATTCATCATAAAGGCGGTCAGTAAACTGAATAAGTTTTTTTATGTACCTAGGTGATTTTAAGGAGAATTTTTTTGTGAAGGTTGAACATAATCATGTTCGTTTTCATGACATCGTTAGTCATATGTTGGCTGATGGAAAAGACAAACTCAACTATATATATATATATATATATATATATATATATATATATATATATAATCTTTCAGTAGTAAACGTTCTTGGATACTTCAGATATCATATCTATGACCTGGAGAGTACTACTAAGCTATTAGTTCACGCAGCAGCGGTCCTATTGGCTTTCTCTCTTTTTAATCTTTATCCAATAAGTCTTATGAAGATTTGTTTTTGGGAGAATTTTAGCCACGTTTAGGTCAAGAACAAGAAGTTGTTCGTGTTTACTGTTTAAGAAATGGAAACTGGGATTTAATTACAGAGTGGAAGACACATTTCATAGGTCCAACCTACAAAACTGGTTTGATAAGCATATGAATTAAAATAAACAAACAATTTGACTCTGAATTCTATAAATCTCCCAACAAGTTCAACATGAAATAAATAAAGAAACGTTTTCATGTTTTGAAAGCAACTTGATTTGGAAGGTGAACAATGTTCATCGATATAAGCCTCCCGGAATAATCGATGAGAGAGAATAGTTTTTACACATTAAAATTATGTACTTATTTGAATCATCCTTTTGTGAAACTTTTATTTTTTGACGCTAAGGGTTTGAACGATTAATATAAGTAGGCTTAAATGTATTCAAGTTGACTGGAAGAATATGATGCAGTACAGGATAACTGCAAACTACTCATATCATATAGTAGTATTAATAGAACTACAACATTCTAAATATAATTGTCGTTCACTAGTAAAACGTTTTGTCTGTTTATTAAGATTTACCAGTGTTGACCGATATATATATATATATATATATATATATATATATATATATATATATGTTAAGTATAAGTTTCTTTGTTAAGTTTAACAAATACGTCATGATGAATCATTCTTACTAACCATGTAATGCGTATAAGTATAATCAACTGTCTAGCAACTCATACCATTTGTAATTAAGTCAAAACAATCTTAAATACCATTCATTTTGTCCTTCACAATATTACTATTTGCATTTACAGTATTCATTTGAAATATTTGTATTACTTAAGGTTGATTTTCCTATCAACTACGAAACACTAAAAGCAACTGCTTCGTCCTTATTTTAGTACCCTTCATCAGTGGGGTGCAATATCAATCATCGAGTTAAAATTATATGGATTTACATGTTGTTAACTTAAATTCTTAACTTTGAAATTTTATGCATAGTTAAATAATCAAATACAGGTTCTTATACTAAGTGCCATCAGTTATTATATGTATCGTATGAAGAAAAAGAGGGAAAAATAAACACTCTAAAAACTGAAGTTGGTATGATGACATTCATAGTTAAGATTTGAATAACCAAGTAACTGGACCAACTGTTGACAGGAGATGAACAAATATTAAAGCTTTGATATCACTCAACAATCATGAAATCTAAATTAGATCGAAATACTGTTATGTTCAGGAATTTCTTAGGTTTATTTACATTTAAGACAATAATATTTTAGAATCTAAGAAGAATAACTAAATGGTTTATAAGTCATCAAACAGTTGGTTTTCAAACATGATCAGTATCACAAAATCAAATAGAAATGGACAGTTATATAGTGAACGAGATCTCTAGCACGTATGTTACTTTTATTTGATTATTTGAACATGAAAATATTCGTACAAAGGGGCACCGAATACATTTGCACCACACAAGTCACTCGATGTTTGTGAGGGATGGAATACTGTCCGCGTAATAGAACCGAAGCACGTAGTTTTCTTAGGGAGCCACACCCCATAATCCATAAGGCACTTGAGCAATGTAAGGAAATCCAAGCTCATAGTAGACGGTGATCAACAATAGGTTCATACGCCATTTGTTCCTTCAGGATACTGGGACTCATGTGCATCATTAGTTTGGAGTCAGGGTTTCCAACTCCCCTGGATGAGCTCTCCATATCCATCAACCCCGTTAGAGCCACGGACATTCGCTTTTCGTCCTTTTGATTTCGTAAATAATAGTAATGCCACGAGAAGGCAGACAGTAGGGCTTCCGTTGCAGTGGTTGTATGCACGTGGCTATGTGAGAGCATTTCGCGAACAAGAGCGAACTCTCCCCACCCTCGGCCAAATCATGTCATTTCGGGGCAGGAAACAAAGCAACTGATTAATGTCCATGGTAATCTTCATCACCATAAATTGATAATATTCGGTGTATGATTATGAAAATATAACTAATCATGTGATGTTCCTCAAATTATAAGTTTTTAGTCAAAAGTCAAACGAAAGTGTGAATAACAGATGTAAAACCTGTAGTTCAGCAGAAAGAATATTATCACCGGTTTGAAAGTATTCGATGGAAAACCATCGACCTCGACTTTTTCTTAGCTGGTGCCCGTCAGGATGACATACCTGAAATCTTTTGGGGGAACTAATGATCCCTGTAACATTCGAAACACTATCATCTAGTCCCATTATTTGAAAAATTATCACTGACCTGTTTGAGCGTAATTTGATCTCTTGTAGGACTGACTCTGCTTTTAAACTTTACGAAGTTCATGTTGAGAATGAAGATAACTGCATAATATCAGGAGATCATTTAAGGAATAAGACTAATAAGTTATAACTAAATTTTAAAATAACATCCACTTACTCAGTTTTCTTTATAATAGATTACTGATGACTAAGAAAAAGAAATTTGCGGACCAGATCTCCATACTCACACGTAACAACAAGTTATTTATTTTTCCTGTCACAAACAAGAAATGGCCTAGCATAAATCTGTATATGTTCGTGATGCCACACCTCACACCAGCTCGTTAATTCATAAATGTAATTAACTAATAAATAGATTGAGAGAACATCTACTCAATCATTTTAAGGACAAATTAGCTACGAAATTAAGATAAATGGAAAATTCAACATAATAAGTTTCATGAGGCAAACGCTTATACTCACTCAAATGACTGGGGTTTAAATATCACACACTGCTGAAAATTTTACAGGACATAACAGATAATCAGTGGTTGATTTCCACATAAAGTGATTGGATGGAGGGACAATTTAAGTGACGATCATTCAGTTGTCTTTAGTTAGTTTCTTACAAGAGTTAGGTAGCCTTGCTTTCATATGGGAAATCCATTAGCGTAGAACTATAAATAAGAATGATAATTACGAAATCAAACTTTCCCAGTCTACTGCACGGTTTTTTATCTATCTTATCTGATGTTGTTCCCACAAGTGTTTTCATAACATAAAACTATATTAGTACAATCACCGAATAATAACTGTAAACGATCTTACATAATTTGAATAGTTGAATTCATAAGGAGATGTAAGCTAGACCATCATCGAAAACCTGGGAGCACTGCACGGACGTTTTGTCCTAGCATGGGACTCCTCAGCATAAATTAAGCGATAAACAGTATTTACTATTTGTTATGTAACCACTGACATATCGCTGCATAACTGTACAATCAAAAGTTTGAATGTTCCAAATACTAATGTCGTCCATCCCTCAATTTTACTGAATGCCATAATTTTCCAGATATTTAGGATATATCAAACCATTAGTGCAGTATGTCTCAAGTAGAGATCTAGAGTCGGGCAGTTAAGTAATCAGTCATCCAGTCATAAACAACTTAGAACTTGGCACATAGATACATGAGTTCAAGTTCCCACAACATATCGTCTCGGCTAGACGTCAGATTAGTAGAAGCAGTAAGAGTATCTGTGGTAGTAGTAGAAAACATCAGGCATAGACAATATGATTTGAAAAGGACAGCATTCGTCAATTAAAATATATAATATAATTTTGAAATTGAAGAACTAAATGAAGAGAAAGAGTTGATCCGTTCGTATTATTGAGGTCTATTCTTAGCCATGTCACCTATCTCCAACCATTGATAACGACAATCCAGCGGAGCCCAACCATATAATCTAATCGACCTACATGGCTCAATTTAATGGTTAGACGACTTCATGGATTGATGTCACTTTTCGATTTGACGGCCCCTAGCTTTCTTATGACTTATTCGTATATTAGCAAACATTGACTCATAGAGTTAGACAGTGACTGGTCAATAGGACTTCAACTTAATTATATCTTCCATTGTTCCATTGTCGTTAAATGTATGCTCCAGAATTGCTGAAAATGTCTCTAGACTACCAAAAGTTAATTTAATGTCTCATTCTTCAATATCTTTTGTAGCCATCAGTTTTATTAACCTACATGCAATGAACATTTCAACCGCTACCTGATATATCAAGAAATACAGTATTTTACATTCATTACATCAGTACGATTTTTTGACTGGCAGTTTCTCTTTCAAACGATCTTAATTAGCTTACATACTGTTGCAATTTCATTCTTTTTCATGTCTCCAAAATAAATGTGTTGGGATGACCCTGCATTTTTCTCGCAAGCGACATGACAAGCTCAGCGGTCCTCAAGGAGGATTTCAACCAATCAGCGATTAATTAGAAATTATGTGAAGTTATGTTACTAAAATAACGAAAATGGAAAATTCACATGTGGATAACCTGGTTGGCTGATTAATACACTGCTACTATGTTTAGCAGTATTCTAGAACTTTCAGTAAAAACTCAAAAACTCTTAAATTACTATAAAATCCCTATATTTTCTGTACATGAATGAACTCTGTAGTAAAGTGCTTCCCATACACTTTGTGCCTTTTCTCTGGTCTTCAAGTCAGTGTATAGTTCTAGCTCGGGGGTACGGAACTAGCTTAGGGAAGCGAATATAGCGTTCACAATCGGCCAGATATAACAAAATGTTCCACTAAACATTTCGTACATTGAGTAACACAATATAGAAGTTTTAGAGTTTTTTTTGATCATTCTTTGTAATTGTTAAAGAATAGTTCAAACGACAGAATAAAACACTGAAATGAATATAAATAATGGAATTTAAAACACTTTTATTATTTATTTTACAAAACACTTAACTTATACAGAATGTCGTGAAGTAGTTATTTGTCAGTTAAAAAAAGGATACCCAAAGATGACAGTGAATTTCATAAAACACTAAATAATGGATTTACTTATACAAATAGGTTAATGTCAAATTAACTTAAAACAATCAAGAATAATGAATTATTGTATATAGTTGAAATCATTAATCAATTAAAGCTAGACCACCATGGAAAACCTGGAAGCACTGGACGGCCAACTCGTCCTATTGTGGGACTCCTCAGCAGTGTGCATCCACTATCCCGCCTCGCGAGATTAGAACCCAGGACTGGCACCAGAGCACTTAACCGATAGACCACTGAACGGGCATCCAACGGTGATACTGTCTAACCTCAACCAATCCACGAAGTTGAGCAACCATTTCACCAATGTTTTTAGTGAGTAGATATCTCCCAACAGACCTGGTTGAACTCCACTGGTTATTGCTTCTCACTAGAACACCAAGAAATACCACATGGAGCCAGTCACTAGTGAGCATATGATTAAGGGGTTGTTTGTCCAGATTTTTAGTAATTTTTATATATAGTTGAAATCATGAGACTGGTAGGTCCTGGGTTCCAATCTCGCGAGGCCGGTTCGTGGATGCACACTGCCGAGGAGTCCCACAATAGGACAAGTTGGCCGTCCAGTGCTTCCAGGTTTTCCATGGTGGTCTATCTTTAATTGATTCATGATTTCAACTATATATATAAATAATGAATTATTTTCATCGCTCATTGACGGATAAATAATTACGGAAATATATTGTCAAAGAGGCCTAATTTCCACTCTAACATACGCCATCTTATATTAAAAATAAAGGAGAAGTTCATGATACTCGGGGAGTTGGAGTTAATAGTCCTCATGTAAGAAACTCTAATCATTCTACTACTAATCAGTTTATTCAAGATCGATTATTCAAATAATCAACTACTCAATGATTAAAACGTGTAGTGTCCAAATTACAAAATAATCTATAAAATCTACATGATATTAAACCAATTAATGAATTTTATTCAGATTCCTTAGAATGATTAATTAAAGTATAAATACCTTTTAGGTTTGCAATCAATATTACTATTAATAGTAACAATGATAACCTTAAATCAATCATAAAAGTACGTGAAACAAATTTTTATTTCAAAAGAAACTTACAAGTGTACTTTATACTTTAGAATTTTCCATTGAATATTCAATCTTGTATCGGAATCACTTACTAAAAAACTCAATTTCATTGATACAAAACTATGAATTATTTTACGTTCTCAAACTGATGATCAGTACATATTATCGAGTACCTTATATATATATATATCACTTGCTAATAACAATATGTGTTGGATACAACGACAAAAAAAACCCTGCAATCTGTCTGTACAAAATGGTTTAACATTATTCTCGACTATCTGGAACAAAAAAGGACATACGTACATCTAAACATGAAATGTCGTAGTATAAAATAACATATCTATTTAACATAAACATAGTTAAACAACATATCTGTGTAGAACTATGATGCCCAGTGGACTAACATGGATTATTACTATAGGTAGGTTATAACATTTTTGTTTTGTTTTGTTTTTTTGTATTTTAAAAATAGGCTAGATACAACAAACATTTTAAAAAATAAATAAGTTTATAGAAAAAAATAAAAACAAGAGTTACTATTGACAATGAATTAAAGTTGTTACTATGTGAATTGGAACATTTTTTTTAGAAAAAAAAAATGAATTGGACCATGATCAAAAGTTTACCGAATATTCAATTTATAATGTGTAACATTATTGAACAGATCGAAATGATAAACAGCTAAGCTTATAACATAAATTAAATATACTTTCCAGACCGATCATTGTAAATGAATGAAATGTTTTGAATTCCAATCCAATGACTAATCAATATAGAGGAGATAGTTTCTTGTTTTTAATAAGAAATGAAAATCTTATTATCAAGTGTAAATAGATAGGAAAGAAAATGATGCATATTTCTGAAATAAACATATTTTCTTCGCTTGCAAATAATTTATATTATGACTAACTGACACTAGGTGAAGAATAAATGAAAATCAAGTAGTTTTGGAACAATTTACTTTGTTCTACTTTGAAATTCTTCAGTAGTAATAAAAGATACATACTAATAACGGCGCTATAATAAGAGTGAATATTAAGAAAGCGTCTTATAAAGGACGCGGCTTAAAAAGGTAAGTAACAATAAGGGTGACCATCAAAAAGGTGCATATAAATAAAAGTAAGCATTGAAAGAGGGGATAATATTTTGATGGTGTGAAATTGGTTCGATTCATGCTCTGTCTATCAACCATACGACCAGTCAAAAAAATTAGTTTTCTTAACGTTTAACGAAGAGTCTATTATTAACAAATACTTTAATTTTTCGAATTTGGTAACAAAATGTTGTTTTTATTACCTTAGTCATGTTTTTTCATACACCTTATTCGGACAGCTAGGGGATAGTCCATTTAAGGAGATGATTCAAAAATGCTTCAGAAATGTTTGTTGAATTTTATTTTGAATAATATTTAAGTGTTAAAAATATGCCTCCATTAAAAATTAAAAAGTCATACTCGAGATTCTTCTTTAAATGTATTCCTGAAAACATTGTCCTTGGTGTTCTCTAGTGAGACTTTATGAACGTGTATTTTGTGGACTGTTGATGTTCGTGATAATAAGAGTCGCATTTATTTATTTATTTGAACACATAAATATTGGTACAAGGAGACACAGAATAAATTTGCAGCACACAAGTCACCCGATTTTTATGAGGGATGAGATACTGTCCGCGTACTCAAACCGGAGCACAAAGTTTTCATAAAAAATCACTGCCCGAGCCTTTGACCTAAAAGTCTAATCCACAAAGCACTGGAGCAACGTAAAGAAATTCAGTCTCATGATAGATGGTGACCAACGATTGGTTCATACATCATTTGTTCCTTCAGGATACTGGAGGCCATATGCACCATTAGTTTGGAGTCAGGGTTACCCAACTCCCCTAGGTGGGCGCCTTATATCCACAAACCCGGTCAGAGCCCCGGACATTCGCTTTTCGTCCTCTCAATTGCGTAAAAAATAGTAATGCCTCGAGAAGACAGTCAGTAGGATTTCAGTGGCAATGGTTGCATGCACGTGACCGTGTGAGAGCGTTTGGTGAAGGAGAGCTGACTGTCCCCACTCTCGTGTGTAGCAGGTCATTTGGGTTTTTTATTGAATATTAATTAGATGAACATGTGGAACATACTAGGTGGATCAAATGATATTATTACTTTTATTTAACATAGTATTATCAAGTATGTGTATAGGTCAGATTATTATTTATTCTAGTTGATACTATACTCAGATTTACGTTTGTCAAGTAAAAATGTTTAAACAGTCATTCAAATTAGTTTTTGTTGACGTAATAAAAAGAAAATCTTCAGTGAAATGATCATGACTTGTTTATGTAAACTAGATGATTTTTGTACACTGTTTATTTTTTTCACTTTTTTTAACATAATGATGGATGTTTCAAGAATGTACATTATTGATCATACGGAATAAATAAACGTGTGTCACAAAAAACTACATAAATTTTTGATGGAGTTACGTTCTCCAAGCTGCATTGTTTAATTGTTAAACTGTCACTATCCTTCTGGACATCAGGTAAAATTGAGTGCTTTTTTTAATTTCTTCACATATAACTAACAGCTTGTACTGTTGAGCTTCATCTTGATTGGTTATTGCTGACCTATGCCCTATTGTTTGTATATTTATGCATATAAACATAAGCTGTCAATTGCATGCGAAGAAACTCAAGAAGTTCACTTCTACCTGAAGTTTGTGCTGATGACATTGTCCATAACGATAATGACGGTTTAACAATTAAACTATCCAGGTCAGAGAACGTGACTCCAGCAAAATCATCCAGCTGAGCCACAAGTTTACACTATCAAAAAATTATGGAAATAAATATTTCAGTAAGTAGAGTCTAAAATAAGCTTATTGCTCGTATGCAGATAAAATTGAAATCACCGAATTATAGTAGTATTTAAAAAAATCATGATTAGTTAGTCATAAACAGCATAAAATTTGGCAAAAAATGCCCATCCGTCACAGTTGTAACACGTGACACATCAACCAAATGAGTGAGCTAAATAACAAATTTGAAAACAAACGAGTCAGTCAGTCGCAGTCAACGTTAGACCTAAAGCAAATGTATATCGATCCAATCTGATACATCTCATGTCAAAACAGCGACATAGGAAATCAATAAGATGAGATATAGAGGAGTGAAATAATAATAAATGGAATATATAGCTTAAAGAAATGGAAAATATTGCCCAAAAATAAGTAGTATTCTGTGATAAGAAGTATAAAATGATACAAAGTTAATAATTTAGAGTATATCCCTGTATACTAGACATTTTTGCCAAACTATGTCTTATGTCCTAAACTGAAGTGGGACGAATTTTGAAATTTTAGATCTACGAACTAAAGGCTGAATGGTTTAATCTCCAAGACACTGCTTCAAATCATTCAGCGTCTCAAACCATAGACTACGGAATGCATAAGATGGACTACACTCTAAAGCTCTGGAAGAGGTGCGATCCATCAGGTATATGAGAAGC